CAAATGAAACAACATAGTTTAATACACAATTATGTAGTATTGTAGTATTCTTTATTATACTATTCTTAGTAACTACTTTTTTTTTTATTGGTTAATAATGCAGTGGTAACCCCGCCTGCGCTAATGGGATACGCTGGCGGGACACCAGTGAAGGATGATCGATGAGGATGAAAACAGGCCAGTTAGCCCATCATGATGAATTCATCAGGAATTAATCGTAATAGTTTCCAGGGGGAACCGCGAGGAGGTCGACCTGGTTGGATATATTGCTAGCAATGGGATTCTTATTCTCCATTACTAACAATCCCTTTTCCCTCCAGTAACTACTTATTTATATTAGTGTGAGCATTGCGTCTGAGCATCTTTCGTTCGATTAGTAAAACATTATATTGTTTGCCTTGCCACGATCGACTGGACTAATAGTCGCGATCGACCGGTTGGCTATCCCTGCCCTACTTTTTCCTTTCGGGTTCTCGATATTAACTGGAAGGAATCCCTTCAAGGAAAAGTCCGCCTGTGTACTTTGTAATTTTTTTAATGTCAGATTTATTTTTAAAACTTATATTTATTTTTTATTAGTTATCTTTATACATAGATATAATAAGGGCAATCTTATAGGACTTTACAAAATAATTATGTCCTATACATTCTTTGTAGGTGTGTGCATTATCTAAATTCTGTGATACTGCAATAAATAGGTATCTATTAATTCGACATTTTATAAAACTGGCACCACACTATAGTTGTACACTAAACGGTCGAAATTTTACACACTAAACGGTCGAAATTTTACATGTACACGAACCAAACAGATAACATTGTATTTCCGTCATACAATTAGTTTGAAACGTCCAAACGCAATGTTCGCATCGCAATTACTTAATAGCAATTAATCTTCAACGAACATCAGTGCATTGCACATGCTATTCATATGCACATTTGCATACACTCGCATGCATGATGTTTGCATGTAGTCAAGTTGAATAATAAGTCTCGTATTGTCTAATTACGGATATTATGTAGCTTACGCTTGATAAATGGTATGCGGAATTGAGTTAGAGATGGCGCCTAGTTATATCTGAACATTTAATGTTTATTAATTAGTGCCTAACAAAGAGATGTGATTTGTTTATCTATCTCTGTATTGTCTCTCTTATACCTCACTCCAGACTAAAGGGGAGAAAGAGATTGTTAGTAATGGGTCTAACTGCCCCATTGCTTGCAATACACCCTATCTGGCCAACCTCCAGGTAGTTCCCCCTGAAAACCATCGTGGTTAATTCTAGTGCATTTCGTCACAATGGGTTAACTGACCTGCTTTCATCGTCACCTATCATCATCATAAAATCTACAGTTGATTGTGTAACGGAATGTTTAAATTACTAAATATTTTTTTAGTCTGGTATCACCTTAGATTATATAGATAGAGAGAGCATCGAGCCTCAGAAACGGGTCAACTTTTTGTCAGCTACTTGTTAAATTAGCCGATACTTTTTTTTTATTAATATTCTATATGCTTATGCATAAAATGTATCTTGATGTATTATTTAATAAATAAAATGAGTAACTACGCATTAAAAAGATGCAGAATTTATAAGACAAAAAAAAATATAGAAGTCATAAAGGTCATATTTATCACGCAAAATTATATGAAAAAGTTGACGCGCTTTTCTCAAAGCATTTATATGGAGACACTATCTAAATAATCTAAAGGTAACACAGTATAATTGAGATCGTTGCAGCTTTTAAGGAAATGTTAGATCAATGAAACTGGTATTTTTTTCCATTGAAACATGGGTCGTAACATATTTCCGGATGTATGTCATAAAACTGAGTGTTTTATGGCATGTTTATTTAGTTAAATGCCTTGCCAGAACTATCGGAAAGTGCTTGAAAAAATTATGCCGAATTTTTTTTTAAATTGGTGATGATCGAATGGTAACTCCGCCTGCGCTAACGGTATACACTGACGGGGCACCAGTGAGGGATGATAGATGAGGATGAAAAAACAGGTCAGTTAGCCCATCGTGATGAATACCCTTGGAATTCAGCACGATAGTTTCCAGGAGGACTACGTGGAGGTCGACCTTGTTGGGTGTATTGCTAGCAATCTTAGTTTCCATTATTAACACCCCCCCCCTTCCTATGCAGAAATTTAAATATAACTAGAATGATATGCATTATAATACTGCTATATTTGTGTAACGTTTTCTTGTAATTGTTTGTATTTATCTATTGCTAATCAACATACATTTGGTTAGCAATGGGATTCTATTGTTGTCTTTTGCAGGAAACACTAAAAAGTATCTATCTATTACTAATCAACATACATTTGGTATTGAAGTTTTCATGACGCGACGTATATATATATTTTTTAATGTATGCCCACGCATGTTTATTGTTTTCTTTTTAAATATGTAATGTCATTAGAGATGACCTTAATCCCACAGACAGCTAGTCTATGACACAGATCACGTGGACGTTCAAGGGCAATGTGTGTACAACACTGTTCCCGCGCTTTCTTCAAAAAATGAATATCATCTTACGTCACGTTACGTCAGTAGACGCCCACTTTTATTTTCATCATACATATTTAAAATACAATATTATATGACTTACGTATCAGTCATTGTCCAAAATTGCTGACTTACTACCCCCAATGATTCAATAGGTAGTCATTCTCGGCTATAAAACGTTGAACGCGTCGGTCATAAAATCATTCAGTCGAAGAAATTGAAGAGGGTGACATCGTAAAAATTTTATTAAAAAAAAAATAGTAAATTTTTGAAAATGCTGGCAACACTTCCTTTTTTACATGGTAGGTGATAATAATTATTATTATTAAGTAATATAAAAAAAGATATTGTGTTCTGTTTTAGAAAGTTAACAAAATAGTAATTATTCTTAGTAAAATGGATAATTTTCGCTCATTATATATACAGACGTGCATAGAGATCGACGTCTCAAGTGTCTATCTGTGTATAATATACAAGTGTGTAGTTACTAAATATCTTAATATTACTAAAACTAGTGTTGGCTATCAACAACAAACATATGCCTACTCCCCCACTATACAATTTCAAAAGAATTACTTATATCAATTTTCTAAACTCATGCTTCAAACTTCAAACGCATGCTCGTTTGCCCCCTGTTTTGTAAAAAAAAAATATGGATATTGATTTCGGAAAGAAGGTCGTCAAGGAAAATTACAATGGTATAACTGAAAGTAACAAAAGTTTGTCTAGTAAAGTTAATATTAAATTGTAATTTATCTGTCTTTAAACCGGGGCAGGTTGCTAGTTTATAATACAATATTATTACGAGTGTACCCTAATGGGAGACAGGCGTGACAGATATGTATATGTATGTATGTATGAATTTTTTTTACATGCCAATATTTTTTATGTCACCATGAAACTTGACTTGAATATTTACTTCCCGCCAGTACGAGTATAATAATCACACGCAAGATTTTCACGCTTCACAACCCAACGGGGTTTGTTCAATGCTTTCTACGTTTTTACGACAGTTATTAAACGTGTTATTATTTATAAATTTAATTGCCTAATCAGCTTTATGTTAGCCGATAATCTCTTTAATTAAGCCATTATTGTATACAGATATGTATGTATTTTGATTTTAATTGTATGAGTTACTTATATATGTCAACTTATTTATTATTTTTTAATAGAAACATCTATAGTGTTTCCTTCTATTATTGTACGCATACTGCCCGCTAGTAATTAATGCTCCTTTCCACTCAGGGTTTGCTGGAAAAGAACTCTTACAGAGTTAAGCTCGCCTGTTGTACATCTTTATTTTATATATATTGTATGTTATAATTTTTTGTGTACAATAAAGAATAAATAAATAAATAAAAAATATACATTGTTTTTTTAAATACACAATCGGAATTTAACGTGTTGTAAAAATCTTTACAGGTTTATCTGGTACCTATATCTGCTTCTTTATTGTCGACGTTCAGTGTCGATTGTGTATTTAAAATATGTGTAAACAACGCAAAATTTAAAATTAACTAATGTACAATATATCTGAAATTATGTATAGTTTTACGAAAAAAAAAACATCAAGTTAAAATTAATATTAAAAGTATTTTAATAATAATCTATACTTATAATAAATCTGTAGAGAGATCAATTCTGTACATGAAATATATTTCCAAAATAACTATCAGCGGGTGATTAGTGATCGATACTGATGCCAAAAATGTAATCAGTAAAATTTTATGTATGTTCGTTATAGAAACAAAAACTACTCGACGAATTTTAACGAAACTTGGTACAGTCATTCTTCATACTCCTGGGCAGGTTATAGTATACTTTTCATCACGCTGCGATCAACAGGAGACGGATCAATGACTGTAATGGTGAAGAATGTCAGGTTCTCCCATAATATATACGTCAATTATATTTTTTATTCTAAAAAATGTAATTGGAGAGCTGAACTGTTTCTTTCTTTAGTGAACACTACAGAATTTACGAAATAAAGCTAATAAAATAAGAGTATACCGATGGCCCAATCCCCCGTTTTCATTCCATTATCTTCCGTTAAAAAAATGGTTTACAGTGGAATGGACCGGGTACAAGCCCGTACCATATAATAAGATATATTTTATAATTATCAATATGAAATTGTTACGAGAAACACTGAATGGATATTGGGAAGCATTATTAGAGACTGGTTAAGTTCCATTGCTAGCAATACAACCTCCCCCTCAGGTCGACTTCCAGTTTTTCAAAAACATCACGGTTCATTCCTAATGAGTTAATCACAATGGGCGGTCTTCATCTTCACCTATCATCCCTCACTGGTACCACGTCAATATATACCGATAACACAGGCAGGCTTATCATTCTATTTTCATCACATTGAAAAAAAAAACACGAGTGGCAACGGAAGTATCTATACAGATCTATCTTTTGTATAAAGTCTCCTGGTAAAATGGGCTCATAAATGATCATGACGAATTTTTTTTTCAGAGCACAAATCAATGGCGATGGCAACAGCGACTGCCACGATGGAGGCGTCACAGAGCCTCATCCAGACCGAGTCCAGGGTGCAGAGGAGTTACCAGGAGGTACAGGTCACGGAACAGAGGCAGGTGACGGAGCAGAGACAGGTGTCTGAACGGTCACTGAAGAAGAAGAGTAAGAGTAGGAGGCACAAGGACGAAGGAACCATATCTGTGGTCAGTATCTGGATAACTGTTTGAAGGTAATAAGTAATAAGCATGGGTTATATGGATACCGATCCGATATATTGGGGGAGAAAGGGATTGTTAGTAACGGAGCCTGAGAATCCCATTGCAACCAGGTCGACCTCCTCGCGGTTTTCCCTGGAAACTATCATGGTTAAGTCCTGATGAATTCATCATGATGGGCTAACTGGCCTGTTTTCATTCTCATCTATCACCCTTCACTGATGCTCCGCCAGCGTATCCCGTTAGCGCAGGCCGGGGTTACCATATCATTTTCACCCATCAAAAAAAAAAAAAGATCCGATATATTGGGTTCTTCTGAACACTGATGGCGGAAAAAAGGTCATCACCCATATGATATTGACCATATCGGTCCGAGATCTATTTTCAAATATAATAAAAGTGTGTTATCCATAATTATTTCTTTTCTCAATGTCCTCTACTCAAAGGTTGTCTGGAAGAGATTGCTTAGCCATAAGGCCGCCTTTTGTATCATTTCTCATTACAGTTAAATGTATTTACTGTAATGAGAAATGATAAATAAATGGTGCAATAAAGTGCAATAAAGTAAATAAATAAATATTTTTTGGATAACAGACTTTTACCATATTCGTTATTGGACCAGTATATATATATGGTAGGCGCCTGGTCTGGTTAAAAATGTCAAATTTTTTACATTTTACTCGTTCCCCTACATATTATGACGTTAATGATTCTTTTTTAGCTGTTAAGATTTTTTCCATTTTGTAATGTTGTAGAAATTGTATTTGTTTTTTCTTACTAAAAATGTTTTATTATATCTTGCAGTCTAAAAGCTCCGAAAAACTATACAAGAAGATGAAAGCGGCGGCGGACGGGGAATCGAACCCGCAGTGCGAGAAATGCGCGCGGCCCGTCTACGCCATGGAACGAATTAAAGCGGAGAGACGCGTATGGCACAAGGAGTGCTTCAGATGCGTGCAGTGCAATAAACAACTCACGTAAGTAGATGTCAAATATAACTCTTTTGGGGGCTACAATTTGCTCCATATTGTTAGGAGACTAGGGGGAAATATTCTTAGGGACTAGAGGGAAATTATTCTTTATTGTACACAAATAAAATGTTAGGAACAATTAATTTTAAACATACTGTACAAAGGCGAGCTTATCTCTAATAAGACACTTCTTCCAGGAAACCAATATTGTTAAGGAACTACGGGGAAATGTTGTTAGGGGATTAGGAAGAAGGATTGTTAGGGGACTAGGGGAAGGATTGTTAGAGGACAAGAGGGAAATATTGTTAGGGGACTAGGGGGAAGGATTGTTAGGAAATGACGGGAAAATGATTTTTCAATGGAGAGAAAATGGAATTGTAAACCCGACCGTGCTATCGGTATACGCTGGTAGAGTACCAGTAAGGGATGATAGGTGAGAAAATGTCGGGTCTGTTGGTTTATTGCTCATGGTGAATTAACTAGAAATTAATCACGATAATTTTTAAAGGAAACCACATGAACGTCGACCAGTTAGGATGTATTGCTAGCAATGGGGCTATTAGACATTCCGTTATCAATACTAACAAGCCCTTTCTCTCTGGGGAAGGACTGTTTGGGCACTATGGGGAATGATTGTTAGGAAACAAGGGGAAGGATAGTTTTTTTTTCAATGGGTAAAAATGGTATGCTTACCCCGCCTGCGCTAACGGTATATGCTGGCGGAGCACTAGTGAAGGATGATAGATGAGAATGAAACAGGCCAGTTAGCCCATCATGATGAATTCATCAGGAATTAACCATGATAGTTTCCAGGGGAACCGCGAGGAGGTGACCTGGTTGGGTATATTGCTAGCAATGGGATTTTCAGTCTCCATTACTAACAATCCCTTTCCCCCGGGGAAGGATAATTAGACTACTAGTTACGTATATAAGTGGATTCATTATTAGCAATAAATCCTGAATCGCTTTCCATATCTTTTGTCTTGCTTATCTTTGCTCTTTTTAATCTATTTTTATTTGAAGCATTCCTGGTTTTTAAAATTAAATATTTAAATTTATTTTCAGAGTGGAAACATATCAGAGTGACCATACAACGTTGTACTGTAAACCGCACTTCAAACAACTGTTCGAGCCCAAACCAGTGGATGAGGATGATACGGATGGTAAGATTGATGTCGTACCGTCCCATTTATTTATTTTGATTTTTTTTATTACAAAGGTGGCAAACAAGCATACAGCCAGCCTGATGATAAACGGTCACTATAGGTTATGGACGCCTGCAATACTAAGGGTGTCATGCGCGTTGCCAACCCTGAAAAAAAACTTAATATAGGATATATAAAGGTTTTTGGAAGAACCTCTTACTAGGAAAAACCAAAGCAGGGAGCTCATTCTACAGCTTGAGCGTTCGCGCGGGAAATCTCCTTTGTAACCGCACTGTACGTGACCATTCAAGCGTGTGATGAATGCCCTGTCGATGACGTGCAGTGTGATGATAAAAGGTGGCGGCTAATCATTTCTTCGTTTATTACTATCATTACCATAAATTTTGCCGTCCATCAAGATAATATATAGGGTCGTAAAGAGTTACAAGCTATTTCTCTGCTCAATTCTCTGATTACTCAGCAACCAGATATTGACATATTTCATGACAAAATAGATATATTTTTAAAATGTTGTACAAAATTTGTAAGTTTGTAAAATAAACCTATGGCTCACTACACGTTTTGGGAAACTGTAAGTGTGGTGAGTAATTTTCAAATAAATACATAACAAGCCATAAATTAGTGACAGTATCCATGTAGCTCTGAACAATCTAACACAAAAATAACATACAAATTAAAAAAATATATATTTATTTTTACCTCTCATACTAGATCGATTACAGCACCTTTAGGCATGTACGAAATTAAAAATTATTTGGAGATTTCGAATTTGCTCCTCGGCAAAAGTTGTTTAGTTTTATGAGTACTTTCTTTTTTTTGCTGGTTTTCGGTGCGGTGGTGAGAAAGCGCTACCAAATACGCGGGAAATGAATATCGGACCAGTGTTGCCAAGTTAATAAAACTAAAATTTCTAAACGATAAAAAAGTGCTAAAAAGCTTCAATCCACACATCCCATTGAATGGTTAAATGCGCATAACTTAGCAATCTTAAATCCCCTGACTACGTATCTAACAAACACCGCAGTGTTTACATTTGTAAATGACTACTTAGACGATTACTTGTTAATAGTGAAAATTTGTCGTATTATTTAGCATAATTGCTTTCTAATCGCTAGATGACTTAAGTGTATAAGTACAATATGAAAAATAGCGCCATCAGGCACTATTTTTCAGAGATAAATTGCAATGCATAGATCTAAAGACATCACGCCGGCATACACAGACCATCAGTGTATGCCGGCTGAAAACCCAGTGACCCGGAGGTCGTCGCCTCCGGAGTAGAAGCCGGGGTAATGGGGTACGCCCCGAGGCCCCTACCTCACCCGCCCACACATCATCCGGCGGGCATAAGAATACCGTGTTGTTGTTGTTGTTGTTGCATAGATCTAGTTCGTAATAATAATTTTAGTACCTAAATCGTTCTGCAGAGGCAGCACCAACGTTCGTTACCTAATAATTTTTAACGAAGATTAGTATTAAATATTGACCAATTTTAAACTGTTGCAAACTATTTGTGAGATATATAATCAAGGAATGTATTATATGCGATTGTACATTAAATTAAAAAAGTAACATACGAAATATAGTGTAATTAGTAGCTATTTTTATTAACTAAAAAACCAAATAAGTAAAGTTTAATGATCGAACTATCGTCAGCTGTCTAATAATGCTTTTTTTTTCATTTCCCCAACAGCAGCCCTTCCGAAGAAGCACCAAATGATTATCTGTGAAAGTAATCCCGTCGAGCTGCCGCCAGATGTCGTTAGAGGTACGTACGAGTATGCATAATTATGTTAGTAATTAATCTCCATTAGTGATACTGCGCAATTAGTATCATAATATCGTTTAATAAATTGAACTCAGTAAAGGCTATTACTATTTTTATTTTTGTTTTTAATTTAGTACAATATAAATTGCTGTAATGGCGACCGTCACGTTTGAACTACTTACGATGTGGTAGTGGGTAATATATACTAATCTATTATAATATATATATATATTTTAATATCTATATATTTTAATTATAATATCGAAATACTGGTCTAATAACGAATATGTTAAAAGTAACAAATAACAGACTTTTCGAAAATAGATATCAAACTGATATGGGCGATATTGAAATGGGTACCTTAAATACCTTTTCTCCGCCATTCATGACTAGAGGAACTTGATATATAGATAAAATCTTTTGTCTATAATATTATACTATTGAATTAAAACAATAGATTTTCATTATTATATAAAAATTAGCTTCTACCCACTACCTCATTAACATTGCTTTATCTGGCCGCGAAACACGACAAATATGGATTTTCATACAACTTTTGCCGGCCGCTGCCCGCGTGTATCTAGCCAGTACGGCAATTTTGATTTATCTCGAAGATGCTGGTAAGCAGTTTGAGAAATAGTACATATGGTCACTTTGACACGTGCTATAAAAATAATTGATAAATTAATTTGTCTATAATACTATTGAAATAAAAAAATAGGTTTTCATTATTATATAACGAACAATAATAATTTTCTACGCGCCATAATGTTTCTTTGTTTTTTTTTTTCAATAAACAGCTTTCTATTCCAAGCCTCATTAACATTTAAATAAAACCTTGTATTTTACCTCCTGGTAGCCATGCAAAACATTTTTAAATTACGACAGAAGTATGGATTTATCATAAAACACGACAGATATGGATTTTCATACAACTTTTGCCGGCCGCTGCCCGCATGTATCTGGCCAGTACGGCAATTTTGATTTATCTCGAAGAAGATTGTCAAAATAATGCTCACATTTCCAAGCATGTTTGAGAAAATAATATAAAATAACATTCCTTTTTTACAAATACTTATAAAACATTAGATGGCGGCTTAAAGTATGTTTGTATGTGTAGTATGGATGCGAGATATATCTGAATGTATTGGTGTGTGCACTATATGTTAGGATTAAATTTTTTTTTTCATACAACTTAGAATGGCAAACAAGCTGACGGTCCACCTGATGAAAAGTGTTAACCGTGGTGGTAAAGTGGTAACCTATAGACATGAGCAGTACCATGGACATAACAGAGTATACTGTTTCGCCCATGATACCCCCATGCGTTACCATTCCGGAGGACTCAGGTGTTATTCCTCTGTACCCTGTCAATTCACTGCCATATCCCATCCTTCAAACCGAAACACAGCCATGCAAACACAACTGCTTCACACTAGAAACACGAATGGGAAATTATACTCCTTTATTTAACTTAATCAACAATATACCATAAATAGATAAACAATCTCACTGAGACATTTTGCCCACAGCATCAGACAAACCAGATCTGGGGTTAGAAGAGCTGTCGCAACTGGATGTCAAGTCGCGTTTTGAAGTATTTGAACGAAAAAGCAAAAGCACCGAGGAACCGCCGCCAGCGGAGCCCCGCGCGCCGCGGGAGAAGAGCTCGGCCCTGCTGTCCAAGTTAGCCAGGTGAGGCGTAGCAGTTACATCTTATTTACCAGGTATGAGGGATGATGGAATGATAACCCTACCTGCGCTATCAGTATACGCTGGCGGGGCACCAGTGAGTGTAAAAAGGTGAGGATAAAAAGACAGGTCAGGCAGAAGAAGGCACCTGGAATTCAGCACCATGCTTTCCAAGTGGGACCACGTGGAGGTCGACCTGGTTGGGCATATAGCTAGCAATGGAGTCCTTAGTCTTCATTATTACCAATCCCTTCCCCCAGGTATGAGGGTATTTTTTTAATGGGTGTTAATAAAATGACAACCCCGTCTGTGCTAACGGTATAGGCTGGCGGAGCACCAGTGAGGGATGATAGGTGACGATGATGGGAGGAAAGGGATTGTTAGTAATGGGGGTCAAATAACCCCATTACTAGCAATATACCCTGTCAAGTCGACCTTCACGTGGTTCCCCCTGGAAACCATTGTGGCTAATTATAGTTGAATTTGTCAGGATGAGCTAACTGACCTGTTATCATACCATTTTCACCTATCAAAAATTAGAAACAGTCTTGATTAACTCATCGAATACAATGGTCATTGTCACCTATCATCCATCGATGTCGCCAGCGTATCAGAGATACCATTCCATTCTTATCTTTAAAAAAAATATCGGTACCACCAGCGGAGAATTGTTAGTAATGGGGACTTTAATATATATATTCTTTATTGCACAAAAACATACAGTAACGACAATAAGTTAATAACAATGTTAGCAAAGGCGAACTTATCGCTAAAAGAGATTTCTTCCAGTCAACCTAACGCAGTGGCATAGGAAGTAGTGAGTGGGCAGTAGTAGTGCAAGACAGAAATTTAAATAAATATTTACATAAATTATAAATAATTATATATATACACACATGCATTCACATATATACATACATACACATACACATATATATACATATACACATACACATACATATACACACATACATACACACGTTAAATACAACATATAAATATCAAATACAAGAGAACACAATGATGACAGTCTTCTAATCATTTTTATATTTAAATTAAATTGGAAAGATAAAATGATTTTAATCTTTTTTTGAAGGAACTGCTAGACGGGCTATTCTGAATATTCACGGGAAGTTTATTCCACAGCTGTACAGCACGATATGCAAATGAGTTACCCATAAAATGGGTTTTACAGTTGGGAAGCTTCAGTATAGACAAAGACGTCTAGGTCTGGAAGGAGGAGGTAATAATTGGAACCGGGATTTGGGATTATTAAGGATATTATATAGGACCGCTAGGACATGTGTCTCATGACGATGTCTAATTGGGAGCCACTTTAAACGAGTGCGGTATTCCGAGACATGATCATATTTTCGTAAGCTGAAAATAAACCTATATATATATAGCTGAAAATAAATATATCGCTAAATTTTGCAACCGCTCAAGCTTATTTAGCAGCTCCTCGGTCACATCTAAGAAACAGACATCGGCATAATCCAGAATGGGAAGAAGAATAGATTGTGCAAGCATAATTTTGGTAATGAAAGGGAGAAAGTATTGGAGACGTTTGAGAGAGTGATATGAAAAGTACATCCGTCTACTAATGTCATTAATATGAGAGGTCCACGACAATGTACTATCCATAATAAGTCCTAAGTTTTTCACTTTATCAGTATAAGATATCTTAGTACCCTCGTATACTCGTTTAATCCCCATTGCCAGTAGCATAGAGACTGCGTAGATATCGAATGGACAGGGTATACCTATTGATTTTATTAACTAACTACCGGTTTAACTTACGTGTAATTAAATCGAGAAAACTCAACTAGTTTTAGAATCTATAGATGATCCTTAATTATGAGCGGATGTGACGCCAGCGCGAACTTTTTCGATCTAAGTTACACGTAAGTTAAACCGGTAGTTGTTACATAAAAATATAATGTGTGCTTACGAAAGTTTTAACAATGAATCAAATACATTGTACATACATACATATATATATATATATATATCTATGTAATAAACGAATTAAAATTGGCAACAATTTTCTATTTAAAATAAAACTAGACAATAAATTCTAGTCTTTACTCGTTTTAAAATAGTCATTTAACGAAATCGTGTTCCGTCTTTTCTCTGTTTCATATTGATCGTGTACAGAAATCTAATATGTCAGAGACGAGATGTTCGAACATGTGGTATAGTTTGATCGCATAATTTTGATATGTTTTCTAGAATAAAATATGTGTTTAACAAACACAGTATTGTTGGAGAAATAAAAAAAAATTTGGTTATTTTATTTCCAAAATAAAAAAAATATATTGATGTAAAGCTTACAAAATGTAGGATTAATTTTTATATTGATGTTTCTGTATAGTTACATATAAATATAAACACACAGATGAAATTAGTAAAAAAAAAAGCAGCAAAAAAAAAAGAAAGAAAATTGTATTTTAATGAATAAACTTTAATGATAGATAATTTATTATATTCTTAAACTATAATATTTTATTAAAAGAGATAAAAGAATGAAAATAAAAAATAAATAATATATAAACTAACAATCTCCTTTTTTTCCCTTCCTTCATTGTGCCACAAAAATGGTCACAACTCAGAGATATGCCCTACAAGAGCAAAACACTGATATTTATACATATATATAATATTTTATACAATAATAAACTATTTATTGTGCACAAAAGAGATGTAGTATTTATACAGAATGTGCATATACAAAAGGCGACCTTATCGCTAAAAGCAATCTCTTACAGACAAGCCTGGCTTTATGATTATTTATAATCTCATTGTCACTAGAAAGATAAGATGCACATAAAATTAATCTATCCAAGGATTCAATTGGTCAAAAATCGACTCAAAATTGGCGACGTGATTGCGTAGTCTAGCTAAAAAAATACAAACCCATTGTGAAATTTCTTGTGAAAAACTATAATTTTTAACTCAAGTTAATAAAGGCGAACATGTGTAGTATATTTTTTTTTTAATGAAAACGACTTGAGAGCCATCTCTTTTTATAAAGTCAAAAAGTAAATTAAAGTATCAAAACGCGTGAGTCGCCGTACACGTAACCGTTTGCGTCACGGGCAGCGTTGATTTCAAATATTCTATTTTTGTGACGCCTGAGAAGTATCCCACCCCGTACCATGATACTCGGCACTTAATAAACAATATTGCTTAACGTTCATACATCGCTTGTGACAATAATCCTATTTGGAACGAACGTCTTTTTTTTTCATTATTTTTTCTTATTTCTTTTCCCGCGTAAATTAAGGACCTTTATAATGAATGAATGAAAACTCCTTATTTTTCCCTACGATTGTATTATCCATCTTTATTGTTGCTTGTTTATCAATTGCGTGGGTAGATTTACATTTAAACTTGTACAAAATATAAATGAATTGCATTGTCATCCATTCGCAAAACAGGTTTACAAGTGACCCAGCGCGACCACAATAACCACGAACACAAACAATGAATGAAAACTCTTTATTTTCCCCTACGATTATATTATCCTTCTTTATTATTGCTTGTTTATCGTGTACAATAGTACTTTTGGTATCAAAAAAGTGAATTTAGGTAGTTATTTTCAATTTTGAATGTACATTAGGTAGGGTTGGGGAATATTAATAATACGGACTATCAGTCCCATTGCTAGTAATATACCCTGTCAGGTCGACCTCCACGTGGTACCCCCTGGTATCCATCGTGAACTGAATTCTAGTTGTAAAAAGGTGCGTGAACAAAATGACAGTCGGAGAATAATGGTTAACATAGAAGAGTATGGAACATCTGGTAGTAATAGCGGTGATCAATCTTCGAGTGTTGACAATCACATACATACTAATGATAGCGGAATTAAACAAAATAATTCTAATCAAAGGACTAGTGATACATTACTCACATAACACGGTAACTGGCAATGTATTAGAATCGACTATTATCGTCGCCTATTACGAGAAACATCGTAAGCAACAAATTTCTATAAAATACAAACTTCTTTTCTGCATCGATAGTAAATTTCAATGGAAAATAAACCTTAAAATTATGATACTAAGGTAATAAGCTAGATTTTACAGCGTATATCGTCTTGATACTTTAAAGAACATGGCATTATAGTGAAGTATTTCGAGGAAGTTGAACGTGTTACAAAGCTTTATTAATTGTACTTAAATTAAACAAGAAATCCTCTTAATTACACAGACGGAAGTGTCTATTTTTAATAGTAGTGTTCATACTGGTAATATTATTCATTTCTTTAGTGCATTAAGAGTTTTAAGAGAGAAAAAAAACAGTTTATTAAAAAGGGTATCTGAATAATAGAATTACCATAAATGTGAATTGGATGTTTGTTACACAATCACAATTAAACGGCTGAACGGATTTTAGTGAAATCTATTACATAGATAGACCATATTCTAGATTAACACATACAGTATTTTATATATAAATTACCCGTGAATTGCCGTACAATATAGAGACATTAAAAGATTTGATTAAATTTATTTTTTAAAACTTCCAAAAGAGGTTATAATTTTACTATATTTTTTTGTATATCGACACCACGTTAATTGTTTTTGTTCATTTTGTATTTTTGTTTTTTTTATTAATTAAAATAAATTTTTGGGAGTTATCCCTTATTTTGATTTTGTTATTGTTCAAATTGTGTTCTTTTTTTTTTTTAATTATTTTTCAAACAAATATTTTTTTTTCTAAAGTATTAGTATGTAATTAAACAATATACAGGTACCCTTTATGTTTTACCACATAAAGCATGCAAATTACCTTTTTTTTTAATATTTCCTAGTGAAATCAATTAATATAAATATTTTCGTGTATTTTTTTTTTTTGGGAATGAGACATTTTTTTTGTGTTAAAATGTAACTAGTGTTTTTGCTTTTTTTTTTAAGTGATAAAATTATCATGGACTCCGTTGCAGTGGTCCGATGCAGTGGTGTGCACGTTACTTTGCGTAAATGAGGATTCGATTCCCGATCGAATTAACTTAGAAAACGAACTTTTCTGAATTACCTCGTATCTCTTTTCTGAAATTATCATCATCATCATATCAGCCTTTAACTGTCCACTGCTGAACATAAGCCTCCCCCTTGGGGGGTTTTGCCAGTAATTGCCACGCTTGACAGGCGGGTTGGCAACTGCAGTTAGGATTTTAGAGATGTTTTAAGAGGGATGCTGCTGTCCATCCTTCGCCCTCCCTTAGAACCCTCCACGGGAAAAGAAAGGGTGGCCTATTCTATGTCGGAACATATACGGCAAACTTACTATAAATACAAACAATTACAAGAAAATATTACAGTAAGAAAACATCGATAGCGTTATTGCTAAGAGCGATCTCTTCCAGGCAACCTTTGGATGGAGAGGAGTAATTATAAACAGTTTGACTAGAGGCACGAAACTCTGTTCGTTTTTAAATACATATGTAGATATGCATATATAAGAAGTCCTGAAAAGGGTGAATGACAAACAAGCATCAATGGAAACAATAGAGAACAGAAGAGGCAAAATGCTGGGCCTCCTTATACGACATGACGATTTTTAAAGAGCATAGTAGAAGGAAAAATAGAGGGCAAAAAAGAAAGAAGTCCGGGGAATAACTACATGGGACAGATAAAAGAAACACTAGGTGTCATGTCGTATAGGGTGGTCAAGGATATGGCCTGGGATAGAGCTGGCTGGAGGAAGATGCATGAATTAGTTGCACTGACAAGAGAACTCTTAAATGAAAAGAGAGAGAGATATGCATACGTACAATAACGTGAATATATAAATGTATATTATATGTTTCTATTCTTTAAATAGTGAAAAATTAAGTAAATAAACCAATACCTACCAACCGAACGGAATATTTGGTTTCAGATTTAAAGCAAAGGGCATGGACATCGGCGTATCTGACGAATACCTGAACGGCGTACCAGTGGAGGAGAGCTCCAGCGAGCCCGAGGATGAAGAAGGTAAACGTAAACTTACAGTAACGTTATTTATTTATACTTTATTGTACACAAAAACATACAAACATATAATATATATTAAATAAAGATGTACAACAGGAGAGCTTAACTCTGTAAGAGTTCTCTTTTTTTTTATACAACTTAGAATGGCAAACAAGCTGACGGTCCACCTGATGGAAAGTGGTAATCATCGCCTATAGACATGAGCAGTACCATGCACATAACAGAGTATACTGTTTCGCCCATGATACCCCCCATGCGTTGCCATTCCTGAGGACTCAGGTGTTATTCCTCTGTACCCAGTAAATTCACGCCAATTGACAATTAGCTGACAAAATGTTGACCCATTTTTGAGGCTCGATGCTCTATCTACATAATCTAAGGGTATGGCATTGTAAATAAAAACCGTTTGTCCAGACGAAGACTCCGTGCTGCGCAAGTCGTACAAGCACACAGCGAATAAGGAGCAGCCGGTATCGTTTTGCAATATGAGCGAGATAGTGGGCAAGTTCGAGAGCGGCCAGCACGCGGCCTCCGAGCGGCACCGGGAGCGCAAGCAGGAGATACAGAACATACGCAGCCGCCTGTTCATGGTGACGACACATTTTTTTTTATTTTTTTTTTTTTTGTAACATTCTAAAATGGCAATCGTAGCATACAAACTTACATTTATTAATAAAAAATAGCTTATGCCCGCAACTTCGAGTGACCGGGATTTCTTTTATATCACTGAGGTGGCAAACAAGCATACGGCTCACCTGATGCTAAGCGGTTACCGTAGCCTATGAACGCCTGCAATATGCATTACGCGCGCGTTGGCGACTCTAAAGACATCCCTTTTTTTTTGTTATTAAAGAATAAAACATATAAAAAATGATTCAGAATGCCTGTTTCATCATTGTATTCTCTTATATATATATATATATATATATATATATATATATATATATATAATTTATGTCAATATATATATATATATATATATATATATATATATATATATATATATATATATATATATATATATATATATATATATATATATATATTCATAGTCTCGTTTGTTCCAGGGCAAGCAAGCTAAAATTAAAGAAATGTATGAACAGTCCGTCCTGCAAAGTGAACAAGGTGAGTGCACGACCTTTGATAGCCGCAAAAAATCATGTACCCAACAAAATAGTAAATAATCATCAATAATTCTCCGTGTGGACCTCTTCGTTTCCCGTGGGCGTCGTAAGAGGCGACTCAGAGAGGGCGAGCTATGGGCAGCAGCGTCCCTCTTAAAATTTCTCCAAAGCTTAACTGCGGTTACCAACCCATTGTCAAAACTCTCGAATAGGCAGTGACTTATGTCCAGCAGTGGACAGTTTTTTTCATTTAAGAGTTCCCTCTTGTCGGTGCAACTAATTCATGCATCTTCCTCCAGCCAGCTCTATACCAGGCCATATCCTTGACCTCCCTATACGACATGACGCCTAGTGTTTCCTTTATCTGTCCCATGTAGTTAATCCTAATAAATCCTAGTGGACAGTTAATGACTGATAAATGATGATGATCGTTTGATATTACACAAAAATGTACATAAAAGTTTAATGACAATAATTTACTATAAATTTGTGTCGTGTTTTTTTTTTTCTTTTTTTTTATTTATTTATTTATACTTTATTGTAAACAACAATTACATAGTTATAATCTATGTTAAATGAAGACGGTAGAACAGACGAGCTTCCAATATTTTTGCTGTCCTCCTGATATGGTAGATAGGTATAGAAAATAATAAACTATAATATTTCATTTAATTTCGTACTGGTAATAAAATGGTACAACAGTTACCAGAGGGAGACTTTGTACAAAAGTCGATTGCTTGTGTACCTCTGTCCCATTCGTGTTTCAACCGTGAAGCAGTTGTGTTTGCATGGCTGTGTTTCGGTTTGAAGGGTGGTATATGGCGTGAATTTACTGTGTACAGGGGAATAACACCTGAGAGTGAGAGAATGGCAACGCATGGAAGGTATCATGAGCGAAACAGTACTGTTACGTCCACGGTACTGCTCATGTTTATAGGCGACGGTTACCACTTTCTATCAGGTGGGTCGTCAGATTGTTTGACATTCTAAGTTGCATAAAAAAAAACAAACAAACTGACATTTAGTTTCAGTAGTTGATTATTTGTTATTTGTTCACCTAGTATAAACCTAGATGGCGCTGTTAGTGTGTTTGTGTGCGCAGGCGTGACGTCGGCGGACAAGGTAGGCCGCGAGCTGGAGCTGGACGCGGACCGGGCACGTGCCATCAAGCAGCGCTTCGAGAACGGACACGCCTTCAACGACGAGAACCAGCCGCCGCGCCACCGCGACATCGACGACCGCACGCTTTTCAACGAAGGTCCTGGAAACCCATGGCTTTTAGTCATATCCCTTTGAGTGCCGACGAGCGCCATCACGCTCGTGAAATCAGTCGCTGTTTAGCTTGCTGTAAAAAAAATATTAAAATTGGATAATTTTTGGAAGAGATACACTTTTTTTTTAGAGACAAGGGTAAATGACGTCAGCACGACAAAGATTTCTTTGGCATTTTTAAGTAGATATTAGTAAAAATCAATGGCACTAAAAGGGTTAAGGCCACCCCAACGAGGTATACACGTCAACATATAGCTGTGTGGTCCCGGCGTAGAATAGGCCGTGGGTGTCGTAAGAGGCGACTAAAGGAACTTAGTGGTCGAGAGATGGACAACAGTGTCCCTCTTAAAATATCACCAAAACATAACTGCAGTTGTCAACCCACTTGCCAAACATGGCAACTACTGGCAAAACTTCCCAATAGGGAGAGGCCTATGTCCAGCAATGGACAGTTAACGGCTGCGTCATCATCATACACATCAACATGTTATTCTTTAAGCAAATATCAACCTTATATACGTAACAATACTTATCAATTTTCTGCACAGGTATTGGCAAGAAATCTCGCTCCATCTTCTTGGAGCTCGACGCCAATGCTAAGAACGTGTCGCCTACATCCCCACCGCCACAGGAGCCGCCCAAACGGAAGGAGCTGGTAAGTTTTTTTTATACCACTGAGGTAGCAAACAAGCATACGGCTCACCTGATGGTAAGCGGTTACCGTAGCCTTTGGACGCCTTTTTTTTTTTAACGTCTGGAAAATGCTTTATGCAGACCCATACACCTTGTGGGAGGTGAATGGGTACTGTGGGAGTCCCCCCGTAAGGTGGGGGTGTACCCACCAAAAACCAGACGATATACCCTCGAGGTGCCATATGTCGGAGACATGGGTTCGCTTTCGCACTCACCACATCTCCGACGGCAGCGACCCGCCCCTTGATGGTAAGAGCAGGTCTCCTCTCTCAAGATAGGGTGGATGGCGTGCTCACCCTACCACTCGGGGGATGCGCCGGTATATAAGCCTTTGGACGCCTGCAATACCAGGGGCATTACACACGCATTGCCGACCCAGAAGAAATCTCTTTATCTCTTTTTAAGAAAACACCATGCTGTAGTCTCTTGGTGAAACCTCAACAGGGAGCTCATTCCATAACCTGAGTGTTCGTGGAAGAAACCATCTCTGAAACTGCGCTGTACTAAATATAGACTAATGTGTTATACCTCTGCATCTTGTAAATTCATGCCATATGCCACCCTTCAAACGGAAACTCAGTTGGACTGTCAGTTTTCATTACTGTGGACTGCCAATAGTAAAAATAGGGGGAAGGGATTGTTAGTAATGGAGACTGAGAATCCCATTGCTAGCAATATACCCAACCAGGTCGACCTCCTCGCGGTTCTCCCTGGAAACTATCATGGTTAATTCCTGATGAATTCATCATGATGGGCTAACTGGCCTGTTTTCATTCTCATCTATCACCCTTCACTGGTGCTCCGCCAGCGTATCCCTTTAGCGCAGGCGGGGTTACCATACCATTTTCACCCATCAAAAAAAATAGTAAAAATAGTTTTCTTTTTTCAAAATTTCTGTTTTATTTCGTAATATTTTATCTAGTTAATATCCATGTTAATATTATACATACCTTTAATGGAATTTTTGAGAAAGAAACGAAATTTTGTTAAAAGTGGTAAGAAAGATGGTATAGATTGTCTACGATAACACGACACGCCCCTCTAAAATTCAAAGTATTAAAAATGTATGAGTAAAAATATTTACAAGGTACCAAGGAATATAACACTCTCTGAATGCATCGCTACCTCACAAACACCAGAGGGAGACTTTGTACAAAAGTTGTTTGCTTGGACACCCCTGTCCCATTCGTGTTTCAACCGTAAAGCATGTTTCGTGTTTGCATGGCTGTGTTTCGGTTTGAAGGGTGGGATATGGCGTGAATTTACAGGGTACAGAGGAATAACACGTGAGTCCTCAGGAATGGCAACGCATGGGAGTATCATGGGCGAAACAGTATACTCTGTTATGTCCATGGTACTGCTCATGTCTATAGGCGACAGTTACCACTTTCCATCAGGTGGGCCGTCAGCTTGTTTGCCATTCTAAGTTGTATAAAAAAAACAAAGCACCACGTGTGTATATAATCACATACATTGAAGTAGAAAATTTATATCTAAAATTTAAATACAGTTTGACACCGCTTACTAACAGGTGGGCCGTATGCTTGTTTGCCAACTCAGTGGTATAAATAAAAAAAAAAAAAACCAGAATTATTAATTTGGTAAGTTTTATTAAATGAGTTTTATACGCGTTATAAATGTTTCTAATAAATATTTGGTCAGGCCTTCGTGCCCAAGGACGTGGTCCGCGCGGCGGACAAGATCGAGGAGGTGAAGATAGAGACGGCAGACATCTCGGACCGGTTCAAGTTCTTCGAGACGTACAAGCCGGAGACCAAGCGCAAGGAGTTCCGCATGACGCCGCCCCGGCAGACCCAGGTAAATGGACCTCGTTTCGAGCGCCAAGATAGATCTTCAAATTTTGGTGCAGTGGTTGGATGATGTTAATAGATCACTCAGGGGAGGAGGGGTTGTTTAGTAATGCGTGCTACCAGTCCCATTGCTAGCAATATACCCTATCAGGTCGACCTCCACGCGGTCCCCCCTGGAAACCTTCGTGCTGAATTCCAGATTTATTAATCATAATGGGCTAACTGACATGGTTTTTCATTTTCACCTATCATCACTCACTGGTGCTCCGCCAGCGTATACCGATAACGCAGGCGGGGTTACCATTTCTTTATCATCCATTACAAATAAAATGGATCATTTATCATCTGTCACTGGTGCCCCGTCGGTGTATACTATTTTTTTTTATAATGGATGATAATGACATGGTAGGAAAGGGATTGTTAATAATGGGGTCTAATTTTTTCATAACTAGCAATACACACTATCAGGTCGACCTCCACGCGGTTCACCCTGAAAACTATCATGGTTAATACCTAGTGAATTTATCACGTAGCCCATCGTGATCTGATTTTATCCTCACCATTCGCTGATAGGATATGCGGGGTTACCATTCAATTATCACCCCAGCAACCTGACCTGGGTGTGGTATTCTAGCGAGCCAAGTCGCCGTCACCCGAGGTGTACCACGAGCCCAGCGTGGTCCGCAGCGACGAGCCGGCCGCCGACACCGGCCTCGCGGCAGACAGGCACACCGCCTCCAGGATGATATCCGTCTTCCGCCAGATGGAAGAGCAGCTGCACAAGCAGGAGGAGAACCAGGGTGAGATTTGTCATACTTATATCAGGACTCCAACGTGCCACCTCGCACATACCGGATTAGGGAACGACAAAAACAGTTTCTAAGTTGATAAAAGGAAACCAAGGCGAGATTTGTAACGTTTTTTTTATACAACTTAGAATGGCAAACAAGCTGACGATCCACCTGATGGAAAGTGGTCACCGTCGCCTATAAACATGAGCAGTACCATGGACCTAACAGAGTATACTGTTTCGCCCATGATACCCCCCATGTGTTGCCATTCCTGAGGACTCGGGTGTTATTCCTCTGTACCCAGTAAATTCACGCCATATCCCAGCCTTCAAACCGAAATACAGCCATGCAAACACAACTGCTTCACGGTTGAAACACGAATGGGACAGAAGTACCCAAGCAATCGACTTTTGTACAGTCTCCCTCTAGTAAGACATATTTATAATACAGGCCCAAAACCACTGAAACGGTTTACTCCCCCACCGCCTGGGGAAAACAACCGTCACGTGGACTCCTCCGAGGAAGAATATAGCTCTGAGGAGTACGAGGAGGACAGCGAGGAGGAGCGGAGGAGGCTGTACCTGGAGGCGAGGCAGCGGGACGAGGCACTCAAACAGGTAACTTTGAGACTTGCGCGTTCCATGATTAATGGTGTCTAAGAGACTGAGAATCAACGTGATCAGTAAGAACTATAAATCAGTGATCCTATCAATAAATAAATGTACTTGTTACTAATTTTTAGAGAGAGTTTCTATAATAATTTCAACAGACTTTAACATATAAAGTACATTACTGCAGCGGCCAGCAACTGAGATATTGATGGACGAACGTGCAAATGTGGGCCGAGGCGCAGCCGAGGCACACATACGTGAGTCCATCAATGCCTAGTTGTGGCCAAGGCTTGTATAGTTCTTTTCTCAAACAATACACGAAAATGAAAAACACAATTTTACATTTTAAGTTCAATGATAAATAACGAACAATAATAATTTTTCACGCGCCATAATGTTCTTTTGTTCGCAATTTAAATAAAACCTTTTATTAGTTACCCCCTTGGTAGCCATGTTTCGAAGTAAAAGGTCATTCTATTTTTAAATTACACGACAAATATGAGTTTACATAGTAATTTATTTGGCCGCAAAACACGACAGATATGGATTTTCATACAACTTTTGCCGGCCGCTGCCCGCGTGTATCTGACCAGTACGGCAATTTTGATTTATCTCGGAAGAAGATTGTCAAAATAATGCTCACATTTCCAAGCATGTTTGAGAAAAAGATATTTCATGAAAATATGGAAACATAATATATGAAATATCTTTGCATTCATCAGTGATTTTGGGTGTTAGAATAATTTACTAAAATATTTTTTTTTTTATTTTGTTTCAGGCGCAGCAACTGGCCCGCACGACCAGTTTCCGTGACCGGTTCGAGCACTGGCCCGAGTCGGAGCCTCGCTCACAGCCCGCCTCGCGTCTCCAGCACGACTTCCGGGAGACCAGGGACTCCAGAGATGAAGATGAAGATGGGGAGTCGCAGCTGGAGACCGCCAAGAGGTTTGTTTTCATTGCAACCCTTAACTGATAATGTTGTATGTGCTACAGAGATCATCAAAGACGATGATATGATAGTCAAGTGAGTGACAATGGAATGGTGACTCTACCTGCGCTAATGGTATAGGTTGATGGTAACCGGGAGGTAATTAATGAAGATAAAAAGGAAGTCAGTTTTTTTTAACAGGTGAAAACGGAATGGTAACCCCGCCTGCGCTATCGGTATACACTGGCGGGGCACCAGTAAAGGGTAACAAGTGAGGTCGAAGGCAGGTCAGTTGGCCCATAGTGACCAATTGAACAAGAATTAACCGCTATGGTATCCAGGGGGAATCGCATAAAGGTCAACCTGATAGGGTATATTAAACAATACCTTTACCCCCAGGCAAGTCAGTTAGCCCATTCGTAACCCAAACTGAATTCAGCTGAAATTAAGCATGATGGTTTCCAGAGGGGACCGCGAGGAGGTCGACCTGACGGGGTATATTGATAACAATGGGGAAGCTAAATTCCATTACTAACGATTTCTTTGCTTCTAGTAATGAAATTTTGGGGATACAAATGGGTACCTACTATTATTGATTTACGCTTATAAAGTTATGTCAGTCAGAGCCATAGTTACAGATATACCAAGATTTTTCATACTGTTTGTTATTTACTACAATGGGTTCCAGGAAGGACAGCGCGGAAGTTGATCTGACGATATATTTTTTTTCAAATTCAAATTCAAATTCAAAAATCATTTATTCATGTAGGACATTTTAGCCGCTTATGAACGTCAAATTTTTACATTATAATTTTATATTTACCCTACCGTCCAGTTCGGTATATAGATCCAATTGAGAAGAACTGGCAAGAAACTCAATTGAATTACTTTTTTTTTTTTTAAAGCCAGTTTATTTACAATGTATATTTATATAGGTGTCTATGTCTAACATTAAATGAAAATTCAGTGCATGAACAACTATTGCCATGCACACTCGTCATTCAAGTAATCGTTTAGTGAGTAATAGGCTTTGCTCAGTAAATATATTGCTAGCAATGGCACCGCTGGTATTTGTACTAACACTCCCCCCCCCCCCATCCCCCCCCCCTTTAAATAGGCATCACATACATAGTTGTTTGTTCAACCTGATTACCATCGTTTCAGTCTTCGGGAGAAATTCGAGAATATGAAAGTTCAGCAGACGAGCGTCACGAAAACCTTCGTGCCTAAAGTTAATAGATTCGTGGTGAGTACATTATACGATAACCGATGGGGAAGAACAAAGTTGAGTGGTAACCCCGTAGAGGCAGACGCAGTGTAGGACGACCCACCAACTAGATGGTGCGACGACCTCAAATGCGTTACAACGACTCAATGTATGCGAGTGGCTCAGGATCGTTCCTTATGGTAACTTATGGGGGAGGCTTATGTTCAACAGTTTTATCTGAAAGGATATACTTACAAATTTTTCTCATAGAAATTTTATCAAAATCGGTTCAGTTGTTTAGTTTTTAAATCAAAATAACTGATTTTATCATAAATAGAAGTCGATTTTTTTTTGTAAAACAAAATCTTTTCTGTTTTATGTTTATTACCACATAACTCCGTCAGTTATAAGCCGATATTAGACAATTATTTTTTTTAATTAAAAAGATATACTTACAGATAGGTGTATTAAAATTTTATCAAAATCGGTTCAGCAGTTTAGTATTTAGATCAAAATAATTGATTTTGTCATAAATTGAAGTCTATTTTTGTAGGACACAATTTAAAAAAATATTGTGACCTAAATTCTAAAACTATTGTTTCCAGTGACCGCCTCCGCGAGTCCGCGACTATCTACCACCATTACCAAAGCGTTTTAACCCTTCAAGTTGTAAAGTTAACATGACTTGTCTTTATATAATCCTAATACAAAATGGTTGTAAGTTGTAATCCCGAATTTTTAATATAGTTTTTAAATAAATATATATATTTATTTATATGGGACTGATTTAGTTGTTGCATTTTGCGGAACATGTGCCTTAGACGTGCAATTGACGTATAGAAAGTTTGTTATTCGACAACTTTATATATTTATTTTTATATTGGGGTCGATTCTGAAGCGCCATCTGTCTAAATCTATATCAAATATATCATATCATATTAATCTATAGCTAACGGTACACCTGATGGAGAGTGGTTACTGTCGCCTATACACATGAGCAGTACCTTGGACATATCAGAGTATACTGTTTCGTCCATGATACTCCTTATGCGTTACCAATCCTGGAGACTCAGGTGTTCTGGGGATTCCTCTGTACCGTTTCAAACCGAAACACAGCCATGCAAACACAACTACTTCACGGTAGAAATACGAATGGGACAGAGATGGCCAAGCAAAAGCGACTTTTGTACAAAGTCTCCCTCTGGTAAGGTCTCTCTTTCTTTACATATTTTTTTTTGTGTAGTTTCTTTATTATAATTTTTAATCATTTTTAACCCCTGTCTGGGAGTTGTCATATATTTTATGAAATAAAGTTTTTCTTCTTTTTTTCTTCTTTCTAAAATTGAAATTTCAATTGTCTATATCGAAGTAAAATCTTTATTGTAAGGTCCAGTATGAACAAATTTTTTAATAGAATTAAAAATATAATTTTCCTGGTCCACAGAACAGCAATTGCATGAAATTATCAACTTATTAAATTAAAATATAAGTTTAGAGGAATGTCGCTTCAGAATTGGTCCCATTATTGACTCATTGGTATATTAAAATAAGCACTTATATAGATAGAGTGTCTCCATACAAATGCTTCGAGAAAAACGGGTCAACTTTTTCATACAATTTTGCGTGATAAATAGTTAGTTATGAGTGATTCCTTTATAACTTCTATATTTATTTTGTTTTATAATTTTTGCATCTTTTTAATGAGTAAAAATTCATTTTATTTATTTAATAATTAAATATAGATACGTCAAGATACATTGTGTGCATAAGTATATAGAACACTGATAAAAAAACGAGTCAGCTAATTTGACAATTAGCTGACAAAAAGTTGACCCGTTTTTGAGGCTCGATGCTCTATCTATATAATGTAAGAATATCAATATGCTGAGGAAAAAAAATTATTGGTAAAATTAGGTATACTACAGCTGTTTTTTTTTACAAAAGAATTTATAATTTATGCTAACTTGTTGTAATATGTAATATAAGATCATGGGTGAATATTTGTCATACTTCTAGGATCATATATCTATGATAATATATAATATTGACTTACATTGTGATCCTTAAGATATGATCATATCGGCATTATCTTATATGACAGTAGAATAAATATAGAAGCAGTCTTTGGATTACGGTGACCGTTCACCATCAGGCGGGCCGTATGCTTCACTCCACCATCGTGTGAGAACTGCCATATAAAGTTGTCGACAGACAAGCATTTAATCCAAATGGTTGGTGCAAAAAGATCTCCAGTCGCTAAAATATATAATAGTTCGTTTCATTTCATTTGACTTTAATTTATTTATTAATCGACATATCATTGAGTTTGACAGCTTTAGTGATTCGTGAGGCAGAAGTAAACGAAATTGATGTTCATAGCGACAAAATAATGGTTATATTATTAAAATTATTAGTTCTAACACTACTGGCAGTAACGAGAAATGCTCAAACGAGTCATGAGTTTATTTTAATAAGAACTAAAACTATAATAAATTATTGAAATATCTGTTAGTAATAGAAATCACCTTAAATATATTATGAATTAATATTTTTAATTGTTTATAAATTGTCATTTATAGTCATTTCTCCATCTTGCCATTTTTTTTATGACTTTAAATCATCTTGTGCCATTACCATTTAGATGTAATACATATTATTTATATAAATAAGTTATTTTCATAAGCTGCGTTCAGACTGCCTGCAATAGAAATGATAAATTTAATTATTAAATAAAATATAAAGGCAAATTTACATGGAGTCAGTTGAAAATGTCAGTGGGACATTAGCTTCAAATTCAAAATTTCCACTCAGTTTCCCTTATCTTCTATAAGGGAAACTGAGTGGAAATTTTGTGCAGGAACAAAAAATGGGATCGATTCTGAGACGTCAATCTCTAAAAGTGTTTCTAAAATTAATATTTTACTTCAAAAAACTATTTTTACGGTTTCACAAAAGTACTATCATAAACTATTTTACTTTTGATATAAACAACAACCGATGGCGACGAAAAATTCTTGAGTGGCGACCCCGTACGAGCAAACTCAGTGCCTACATTGAGGGCCCTAGCCCTCTCTCCCCTACTCACACACACACACACACACACACACTGAATGGAGTTACAACCTCAAAAGCATCACAGAATGGATTCAAGTGGCTCAGGATCGTCCCTTATGACGTTCTATAGGGGAAGCCTACGTTTAACAGTAGACAGATAATATCTGTGATGATGATGATGAAACTATTTTGACTTACATCTATTAGAAGTTTAATTCGTATTCATCTTTAATTTAAAATTTGATATCTCAAATTGAAATTTTAATTTCAGAGATAGGTTTAAAGAATGGTGCCCCAGAATCGACCTCAGTGGCCCTCATCTGTCTAGATCATAATGAAACGTTGGTAACTGACTGAATTTATATATGCCTTGCTACTTATTGTACATTTTAAATTATTATTTCACTCGTATAATTTAAATATTTTATGAAATTACATAAAATAAAAATATTTCGCGTTGACAATCATGTAAATAAATTTTACGCGATAGGTCTCGCCGCTGGAGCGCTCGCAGTCTGAACGCAGCTTTACGCATGTTTATTATACTCATTTAATGTTTACATATTTTAGATAACTTTACGATTTTTACGATCTGACTGAGTACCGTCTTTGTATTAAAAAAAAAAGTTGTTTGTACTTAAAAATGTTTTGTCGATGTCTTCAACATACCTTGACTGCGGTATACGAAAATGAATAAATTGTAAAATTTTAATTTTTGTTTTATTTTTAAATCCTTTAATTTTGAATTTTAGGATTTTTGCTTGCTTTGCTTTGTTTTATTTTGAAGGGTGGGATATGGCAGTAAATTTACGGGGTACGGAGGAATAATACATGAGTCCTCCGGAATGGTAACGCATGGAGGTATCAGGGTATACCTCCCATGTACGAAACAGTATACTCTGTTATGTCCATGGTACTGCTCATGTCTATAGGCGACGGTTACCACTTTCCATCAGGTGGGCCGTCAGCTTATTTGTCATTCTAAGTTGTATAAAAAAAATATATATATATATATATATATATATATATATATATATATATATATATATATATATATATATATATATAATTATAATTAAATAGGCAATTTCATTATCAACATCATTATATCAGCCTTCCAACTGTCTACTGCTGAATATAAGCCCGAAACACAGGCATGCAAACACAACAGCTTTACAGTAGAAACACGAATGGGACAGAGGTACCCAAGCAATCGACTTTTGTACAGTCTCCTTCTGGTATTTATATTACGATAGTGGGATAACAAATAGTAACTACAAACTTTCATCTTCATAAAAGCAAAAGTTGCCATCGGCTCTCGTACTAAAAGGACAGTCGGCGAAATAATTAAAACATATTTATATGTCAACTATTTTATTCTTTATTTTTTTAGCGAATTTCTTCCTGAAGAACAATTATAGAAACCCGATACTGTTGTCAACTGAAAACTCAGTCACGATAGTACTTAAACAAAAACTAATAAATAAATAATAAAAATAATCACAAATGTAAGATTATCCTTAACTAACCTATCAGAATATACTTCTTTATATCTTAGTGCAGTTTTTAGAAATATGTGTGAATATTAATTTAGTTTTTTTATTTGCTCTTAAAATTTATTTATTATATTTTCTGTTCAGCTCCGTTAAAACACCAAATCACAATCGCAACGCAGTTTTAGATGTTACAAAATTAGTCGTAAAAAAGACGTTTTATTCGATTGCAGTTCGATTTTATATTTTATTAATATATTACATAAATTTATAATATATATAAATTTAATACAAAGTAATCGCCTTCTGAATTATATATATATATATATATATATATATATATATATATATATATATATATATATATATATATATATATATATATATATATTAGTAACAAAATATACAAAATACAAAATAAATAGGATCAATTTTAAAGGGCTATTATTTATTTAAAACTAAAACATCGGTCTGATTTTACAGCGAAATTATTACGTCAAGGACCAGTATAAAATAAATTTATGATAATACAATTTAGCTCACAAGTACTTCAAATGTAGTACTCGGTCATCAATATCATAATTTCGCTAAATTAAATAAAAAAAAATAAATAAATTAGGATTCAGATACGCTTCAGAGTTGACACTAAATATTACAAAATAATTTAAAATTAGAAATTTTGTTTAGAACAGAATAAAAAAAAAATAGAACAGTCAAAAAATTTCAAAGAGAAAAAAAAAAGGAGGTTTTAATCAAAATAGTTCTTTTTTTAAATACACATTATAAATAGTAAATCCAATATGTTATAACTTAAATATTACACTGGCAATGCTATTAGGCATTTGAAACCAAAACTACACTTAGAGAAATTTAAATTAAACGAGTTACTTAATATAAATCTTATATTAAAACAGGTGTTGCGTGGAAGATCCAAAACTGCGCGTCCAATCATATCATCGCACGTAGCCTCTACGAGACCGATTATGTAATATTTACAAAATTTATCCTAAAGCTATGTTCCGAGGAGATTGCGCCATCGTTTTGCTCGACAGAGAAATCTGAACCTTACGTTTCATGAAATAAACAATGAAACTTAACAATACACAAGGCAAGACAAATTACAAAACTGCCAAGCGTGGTAACTAATGGAAAAACCTTTCCTTTATGGGGGAGGCTGCATTAACTAACAACCGAAATGATGATGTTGATGATTGCTTAAAACTAGTGTTAATATCCGTTACAGAGTTTAAAAAAAAAATACTAGAAAAAAAAATATATCAACAAAAAATAAAAAAAAAAAATGCGAACAAACCTTTTGATATAGGTACAAGTTGTTCTTTTTTCGACAATTTGAATTTATTTTTTGTTTTTATTTTTGCAATATAAAACTTTTTCTAGACAAAAAACAAAAACAACTTTTTTGAGACCCTATTAATGAATACTAACACCAGTTTTAAAGAACTCCTTTAATTAACAATTACATAGTGTATAATAAAAAGAAAACAGACACGTCACAAGCGCGCCCAAAAATAAACCTGAGGGGGGGGGGCTACCATGAACGGTAAATACGAAGTTTCGGAATAAAATGTCGTACAATTCGTACCACGAAACATTCTAAAATGGAACACAAAGACGAGTAGTGACGTTAATTCCTTCGTTGTAAACGCAACCATAGAGCGTACGAACGAACGAAACCGACAGCACGTTTTTCTTGATATTAACCTCAAATTACACGAAAACTCAAGAGGTAATTTATTTTCGGATTTTTTTTATATCACAGGTGACAAACGAGCATACAGCCCGTCTGATGGTAAACGGTCAACGGTTACTGTAGTCTATGGACGCCTGCAATACTAGGGGACGCGTTGCCGACCCTGAAGAAACCTTAATATGTCCTTTTTGAAGAACCCCATACTGCAGTCTTGACGAATTTAGAGTGAAACGTTAAAAGTTACACTAATTGATATTTAAAAATGTTTATTGTTTTGATATAATATGTCCTTGTATTACTTGTACAGTTAATTTACTTTTCTTGTTTAATAAACAAATTGTAAAGCGCGAACCTGATAGAAATCATTAAAAACGTAGGTAGATAGTATGAAATTTTATAAATAGGTACTTAGATATTTGCAAATAACCTCCCACACATATGTAAATTACGTGCATTTGTGTAAAGAACTTAATGTATTAATGGAAAACTTATAGTAATCTTAAATGTAATTATACTATAAAATTTTAATACATTGACATATATTTGCGATTCGTGCTTAATAAAAAATATTTTTTGCGATCATGTAAATATGAAATATTTTAGTAGAAAATAGGGCGGAATGCCCTTTCTTCTGTTTATTTCTCAATCTTCCACCTTCATGGTAAACTTCAAGAGTTTAAATGCGAAATATGTTGGTGATAAATTAATTTAGAAGTTTTTTTATCTATGGAAATAGTATAATCTTTCATCTTAGCCATGACCTACAAAAGCTTTTAAATTAAAATAATTTTATTAATAAATTAAAAATAAAAATTAAGTTTAATTATGAATTTTTATATAATTTTATATTTATATTTAATTGATTTATATAAACTTTATTTTTCCATAAATTCGTTAGCGAATGACAAAAGACCTGTCATCTTTTATCATTTCCGAACATGTTTTATGGTCCTTATCCGAAATTAATCCAAAGATACTGCATGGTTGCTTTACATTACTTATCTCGGTCACATTTCGTTTCGAGTACGAAGTTCGGGTTTGGTGATTCATGGTAGCCCCACTGGAAATGATGCTAATTAGCAATACAATAACTTTTACATGTACTTCCACGGAAATGACAAACACCATCCATATTATTACTCTATCCTTTTTCTATCACTTGGCAATGTGGTAAAATACCTATGTATGCTATAATAAGTGTACCTGTTTAAAAAAGAATCATTGATTGAGATTACAATAGGATTTATGTCGAAATTGACATTATTTTCAGAGAATCAACTTTCAACCAAAATATAAATTAAACTTGTTAACACTAAAGTCCAAAATCCTTTGTCTTGCAAACTGGCACAACACTCACTCGAAACAGTAAAGTCCGATTCACTAATCTGGAGGTCGATGGACCACTTCTTGCGGTAACTTGACACTGTCCGCCGTCGGTTTGTGTTCTGAATACTTGGCGTCTTTCACAATATCAGACTTACTGTGTTTCTCGTACTTCCTATCGTCGCTTCTGTGTTCTTTCCTGTGCTCCTTGTGTTCTCTCGGCCGGTCGGACTTATGTGACGATTTGTGCGAGCGAGAAGACGAATGCCGCTTGTGGTGATCGTGCTGCAGTTTGTCGGGCCTGCTCTCCGTCCGGTGTTTATCCGGCTCTTTGTGTCGATGCGTGTGATTCTTCTCCGATTTCTCCACCTTGTCCACTTTGACCTCGTTCTTATGCGACTTATCATTCCGTTCGGGTTTCTCAGTCTTTTCATGCCTCTGTTTTATTCTATCCGTTTTATGCTCAGACTTATCTCTTTGGTCCGTTTTGCCGGATTTGTGGTCGATTCTGTCAGATTTCACTTCTACCTTTTCAGTTTTTACCTCAGTACGCTCCGTTTTTACTTCGGTCCGTTCTGGCTTATGCTCAGTTTTCTCCTTCTGATCACTTCGCTCCGTCTTCAGCTCAGATCTATCGATTTTAGGATCTGGTTTCCTCTCCTTCTTCTCGTCCACCTGTTTCTCCGTTTTCACTTGAACCTCTATACTTTTCCTCGCCTCTGTTAATTTCAAAGCGGGCTTCTCTTTGAATTTCGCACTTAACGCCCTCATTTCTATAACGCCAGACTTGTGTTTAGTTGTGGATTTCTTCGATTCTAAAACAAAATAAAGGATGTTACTCATATTTGACTCCAATAATTTTAATCTGTGAGTATAAATATGAAAAATTTTATGTAAAAATACCGAATTTGCGACATTTTAGGATTATATGAAATATTTTTAAATATTATTAGTTTTATGCAGTAAAATCAAGTGATGAAATGGGTGTGATGAAAAATAATCTGTCATCTGCTTGAGACCATTCATTGGAGTCAGTTATTTTCGTTTTGGCCAGCCTGTCCCTTCCACCCTGTATATATTCTGATAAAGACGTAACGTAAACAGTAGTATAGCCCTTACCATCGGTGACGAGTTCACTCGGTATAGGCTGGGGGTTGGGCGGCCTCTCGTCCGCTGGCGAGGACGCCTCCGACGATGGGTAATACTGCTTCAGTCGAAGATGCCACGCTGCGTAAACAATTACATTATTAATAATAATATTTAAAAAAATGTAAGTTCATATGTTACATTTTGGCGTCTTAATGACACATAGAATATTTCCAAACAAATTCTGATGTTTCGTTCACCACTCACCGACAGAGGTGACAGCCGAGGTGGTTCTGAACTGGTGTATAATGTTCCTCGGCAGGAAGTAGATGTCATCCGAGCACAGGGGCAGGCGGGAGTACCGGACACCTTCCCGCCTCAGCTGATTGAGTTTAGCTTCTTCTAGCCTATAAATGCAATAAGTGTTAGTTCATTTTAAAGTTAGCTATATATATAGAGTCTTAACGCGACACAATTACAGGTAAATAGTACATAGGATATGGGTTTTTTTTTATGGGTGATAATGGTATGGTAACCCCGCCTGCGCTAACGGGATACGCTGGCGGAGCACCAGTGAAGGGTGATAGATGAGAATGAAAACAGGCCAGTTAGCCCATCATGATGAATTCATCAGGAATTAACCATGATAGTTTCCGGGGGAACCGCGAGGAAGTCGACCTGGTTGAGTATATTGCTAGCAATGGGATTCTCAGACTCCATCACTAACAATCCCTTTCCCCTGGATATGGGTAGGGTTGCCATCTCTAAAATTTGCCAACCAGGACAAGACGCCTAAAAATCCCGGATTTTGGAAACCAGAACTCGGACATATATATATATATATATATATAGGTTTTTTTTTAAATACTGTATTAAAAAATAGTTGAAAATGTCATAAATCACGTTTTTATTTATTTACAGACCTAAAAACTAAATTTAGTCATGTTTTATCATCATTTTAAATGTAGCTAACAAAACAGAATTACGCCTAAGTCTTTATATTACGCCCTGCCCGGACGCACCCCGAATGCCCTCTAAACTAGGACAAATCGGGGAAACCTGGATGGATGGCAACCCTAGATATGAGCTTTCAATAAGATAATCATCATCATATCAGCCATTAATTACTTATTGCTGAACATTGGCCTCCTTTTATACGAGCTTTTGCCAGTTACTGTCACACTAGGCAAGAATTAGGAAGACAGATTCTGCTACTTTTCCCTCGATCATTAAGTTCCCTTAGTCGTTTCCTACGACACCCACGGGACAGGAAGGGATGGCTTATTCTATGCCAGAACCGCACGACACGGCATTTCAATAGCATAAAGCCCAGGTTAACACACAACACTCAAATTATGCGATAATTTATTTAAACGCAGTGTTGACTGCGCGGACTGTTAGAAAACGCAGTTCACATCGGTCCTGTTGGGACCACGTGAGTTGCACCACGTCGACACGTCGGCAATAGAAATCAGGTATGTAGGTACTTTTTAATGATGACCCTACCCGCGCTATCGGTATACACTGGCGGGGCACCAGTGAGAGATGATAGGTGAGGATGAAGCAGGTAGTTGTTAGCCCATCATGACGAATCTAACAATAAAGCAATCACAGTGGTTTCCAGAGGGAACCACGAGGAGGTGGACCTGACAGGGTATATTGCTAGCAATGGGGCTACTAATCCCTATTACTAACAATCCCTTCTCCCTCCGGTATGTTGGCACTATTTACCGGCAATTGCGTCGCGTTAATTCCCGCGGTCGTAAATTTAAATAAAATTACTTTTATTTAAAACAAAATATTTAATTAAAAAAAAAAAAATTATTCCACAAAAAATAAACCGACTTCAATTGTGACAAAATCAGTTATTTTGATTCAAAAACTAAACTACTGAACGGATTTTGATAACATGATCATCGGCTGTAGTGTTCCCACAGTATACCTACAGTGCGAGCATTGTAGCGGATGCACCATACTAATATTGTTATGAAATATGTTTTTATTTGCTTAACGGATGCATATGTTTTGCGCTGTGGATAACTATAATTGGCTATAATAATAATTATGTACTAAAATTACTTTTACTACATAATTATTTAATAATAATTATGTAGTAATACTCGTGTTTCAGACACAAATAGAAGATACACATACCAGGTGACACACTGCGATATGGGCGGCTCGTACAGGTCAAGCTGCAGTAACTGCACCAGTTTGTTGAAGTCGGCCGCGTGGAAGGCCACCACGTCCTTGGTGATCCGGCCGCGGTCCGACTCGTCACCGCAGTGGATCGCTTTTAGCACACCTGTCAACATTATTGTTATATTTTTAATACTGACAGAGTCACAAAACTACATTTTTGGAAAAAGGAATGAAAACTTCAGCCAAAGTGTATCAAGATACAGTCTTGGATCGTGTTGTGAAACCTGTCAGCAATACAATTTAAAAAAAAAAATTTCGACTAGAATATTTTTTTTTTATTTTTTGCTTAGACTTTAATAAATATGTAGGTATAAATTTTGGTAATATTACATTACTTTCTAAAAATTTGATTTGGTATATACAATTACATTGAGCAAAGTATGCACACTGACAAATGTACGAAACGCCATAGAAAAAAGAAAACGAACAGATTTTTTTTTTGCAGTTGCGATAAATTGAATTCATTTATTTGCTGGAATAAGGTACATTTTTATGTGTAGGTGTTACATTACAAAAAAAAATGTAGTCGCGGCGTGTAATCTTATTGTGCCATAGTGTAGGCATGCAAATATTAAAACTTATTATAAAAAACTGATAAAACCACTGTAGTACGCAGTTTGTAGTGCGCGGCGTGTAGTGCGCGGTGTGTAGGGAGCGGTGTGTGTAGAGCGCAGTGCGCGGCGTGTAGTGTGTAGAGCGCAGTGCGCGGCGTGTAGTGTGTAGAGCGCAGTGCGCGGCGTGTAGTGTGTAGAGCGCAGTGCGCGACGTGTAGTGTGTAGTGTGTAGTGCGCAGTGCGCGGCGTGTAGCGTGTAGTACGCAGTGCGCGGCGTGTAGCGTGTAGTGTGTACGCACCGACGGCGGCGGTGGTGATGCGGTCGAGCCCGTGGCCGACGTGGTCGGCGTGCGCGCGCGTGCGGTCCTCGAACAGGAACTCGCGCGCCTCGCTGTAGCGCGGCAGGTACTGCAGGTTGCGCAGCTCGTTGATGCCCGTCCTGACTCAAACATGAAAACACTATGTTTAAGATACGCTTTTCAAATGCATTTATAAAAGAAATTGATCTTAATTGATCATCTCAGAACAACAGCAACGTTGAATTTAGTTTCATGTCGCTAAATACATAGTTTTCTATTCTTTAACACCTTAAATTGTCCAAATTATATTCGGCAAAAATTTTTTTAAGAAATATTTTACCACTCGAGCGTTTATGCATCATACGCTGTACCGAACAAAAATGTGATACCGCGCACTAATGTAACAGTTTCTGTCGCATAACTCGAATTTGCAGCGGCGTTTTCATTAAATCTATGTAGGTCATTAATTTATGTAGGTAATAAACACATTTGTCCATAACCTCTAATCGAAATTTGGTAATTTAAAAAATCGGTGACGCAGTGGATGTAGCAAGCTAGTCTAGAGCCGATCACTCCACGGGTTAATTAAACATATCCACAACACGACTGGCTTCTATTGAGATACAATTTAATAAATAATTGATTTAACAAGTGTCATATGAGTAAAACAAAAGAAGGATTTAACATACCGTCGTTTCTTAATAGGACTCTTCCCTAGCTCGGCGGTAGGCACCAATTGTTCTCCAGGCCTAATCCACAGTATAGGCCCATCGTTGGACTCCTGAGGCTCCATCTCGACCGCTGACATGGGGCCCCATGGCATTGTCTGCAAGTAATAATTTTAAACGAAACTGTGAAACTCGTTTTGGTGACTCTAAAATAAAAAAAGGTTAGATTGGAATACATATTATTGTATGTACTTATGTCATGGCCAATACTGAATCCTGAACCGACCTTGAAAATACTTTATTAAAATGATAGTATTTAATTTCATGTTAGTTACATATTATTTAGATATAAAATTTTGCTTCTCGCAAAAGAATTTGCGAAGCAAATTTTTAAATTGTGTATTCCGAATAAATATTTTTAGATATTTGATTGATGTATTCTTCCATAATACTTTCACATACTTAATATTTACAGCGACATCTAGTAACACTGTACTAAAAGAGTAAAGGTTTAGTTATTACTAGCCGGCATACACAGACCATCAGTGTATGCCGGCTGAAGAACCCAGCGACCCGGAGGTCGTCGCCTCCGGAGTTGAAGCCGGGGTAGAGGGGTATACCCCGAGGCCCCTACCTCGTCCGCCCACACATCATTTGGCGGGCAAGAGATGTCCTTGTTGTTGTAGTTATTACTAGATGGCGTGATAGATAGAATTTCTAAAATATTAAATACTAAATTAGTGATAGAAGTTTTGTAGAGCCATTTTAGATACTTATAAAATAATTATATAATAAATATTTTATTACAATACACTTTATTACCCAGAAAAGTAAAAAATTAAAACAATATAAAGGGGTGTGAGATATCCATATTATTAAGATTGTTGATCTCTAAACAAAATTAGACAAGAAATAAGAGATGGCGCCGGAATAGAGACTTGTACTTTTTATTGATTACTTTGTAATTAAAAATAATTTGAAGTAAAATTTCGAGTTGTCGAGAGGTTTTTACTATTATCTATGAATATGAAGTAACAGATAATAAGCAATCTTTTCCTTAATTAATTATTATCCATACAATCACAATGTTTCTTGCTAGTGTATTTTTTTTTTACAAAGTTGTACAGTGCAAGAGAGTAAAGACAAAAATTATGATAAATTATTATTGTATTGGTAACAAATAATTAAAACCATTCACTAGTTTAGAAATTTTGTCTCATTACATCTTTATTTACAAAATAAACAACAAAAAAATCACAAGTCTCGATTATAGAGCGCCATCTAGTATTTCTTGTCTAGTTTTGTTTAATGACTAATGACCTTTGATAATTTCAATATTTGGTATTTTTTTTTTACTTTATTTAGAGAATCTTCCCTTGCCCTTAGATATTCGTTGTTCAGTGCTCCATAACATATGATGATGCATGACTCGATGATCAAGCATTGGCGTCAATTCGTGGCACTTATTCCATAAACATTATTAAATGCTAAAAAAACGAAACGTGTCTGTCACCATTTTGAGAAAGGGGCAGTCGGCGAGCATGTGCAGCATGTCGGGGAAGTAGCCGCCCACCTCCTCGTGCACCGTGCCCACCAGCGAGATCTGGTGCAGTGGCCCGCAACGGAACGTGCCCGCCGCGTACGACTGCTGCACCTGGGATGAACACATGGGCCAATTTAAAGCTAGTTTCATGCTATTTACATACATACACACAACGGCACACACTCTTACGTTCATATACACACATTCGAAGACTATAAAGTCCTGCATATAGAAAAATGATATATCTTATATTCACATACGGGGTCAGCTAAACTGTTGCGCGTCGACCCATCAGGAACTTTTGTGCTTCCCCATGCCTTATACCATCATCATGCGGTTTAAGATATCTGTCCACTGGCTCTGGATAAGCCATTCCCAGAAGAGAAAAAATTATAAAACTTTGTGATAGGATTTTTAAACCCTGTTAAAGTTTTTAAACTTTAGTCCTGAAAAACATATCGATTTGGTGAAAAAATCTAAATTCACATCTGGAAACCCTTATGAAGTCAGCAGTGGACAATAAAATGATAACGAACAACGTATTACCTGTTGATAATATCTGCTAATGGTTGTAGTCTCAATGTCTGACGCACGGGCTAGTACGCCAGCTTTGACTGTGAGGTTGGGGTGCTCGTCGGCCAGGTAGCGCAGCAAGCAGGGCAGCCTGGCGGCCGCGCCTCGCACCACGCCGCACACGAAGTGGGCCCAACCTTCGCTGTCCTCTGAGAATACCAGCTGTGGAATAAAAAAAAAAATTATAGTACATGCCATAGCCATGACGTTTACTAATGACTTATTATGAACAAGACTTTTTTTTTATACAACTTAGAACGGCAAGCAAGCTGACGGCCCACCTGATGGAAGGTGGTAACCGTCGCCTATAGACATGAGCAGTACCATGGATATAACAGAGTGTACTGTGTCGCCCATGATACCCTCCATGCGTTGCCATTCCCGAGGACTCAGATGTTATTCCTCTGTACCCTGTAAATTCACGCAATATCCCACCCTTCAAACCGAAACACAGTCTTGTAAACACAACTGCTTCACGGTAGAAATACGAATGGGACAGAGGTACCCAAGCAATCGACTTTTGTACAAAGTAAAGTCTGGTGGCTGTGTGACGAAAAATAGTAATACGAAATGCATACCTTGAGGAACTCTTTCGCGAGGGACTCCTGCTGATGGGCAGCAAGCATGTCCACGTCCCGCTGGTGCAGGTACAACACACTGGCGCCACCGTTCGGGTGCTTCTCCACGTGCATTAACCTTGGAACGTATCAAACCAAGTTGACTACGACAATTCATTTTACATATAATGTCTGGACAATATGCCATATAAAAAAGCGGGTCTAGTGTAAGTCGGACTCACGCAACGAGGGTTCCGTACAAAATACATAGACTTTTTTTGTGAAATAACTATACTACATGACATTACTTCTTGCTAAATTTCCAGACTAAGTCTACAGAAAGTACCCTATAGGCTTTGATTCCCTTTGCGAATGTCAAAATATGCGATATAAATGGAACATAAACTATATCCTTTAATTGCATCGGTTTAGAAGCTTCATTTTTTCACTGTCTTAAGAGACTGCAGACCTGAGTATATGATACTAATTTCAACTTGATATCTCTATAAGTTCCTAAGACAAAGGGTCTTGATAGACAGAACGACAGACGAATGGACAACGAAGTGATTCTATAAGGGTTTCATTTTTCCTTTGAAGGTATGGAACCCTAAAAACACTAATAAAACATTGATCCAAAAATATGATAAAAAAGTAAGTTTTTCTTAACTAAGTTGTGATATCTGCCAAGGCTAGAATGGCCCATAGATAAAATGGGCTAAAATTTTAGTAATTTTTACTGCTCACCTGTGATACTTGAGTCCTTTTATATCGGGGTTTTCGACAAGTGTGAGCGTGCCCCAGGCCTGCGAGGCCCCTGGCATGGTGGGCGTGGCGGGTGTGGTGGGCGTGGTGGGTGCTGTGGTATTGTTAGCGGCGACGGCGCGGTCGCGGCGGCACTGCACGCCGATGGAACAGCGCTTGATGCGCGCACGCCGCCGGCAGCGGTGGCACGACGAGTGCCGAGACGAGTGTGACGATCTGAACACATCACTCTACTTGAAACAACATTGCCTGTACTAAGATTTCTACATTACGGAACATTATATAAGCATTTAATGATTGCTCTCCATCTTAAGATTGCCTGGAAGAGAGTCTGAAGAGAGAATATAAATTTTCAGAGATTTTCTTAATATGTATATTGTTGCACAATTAACATTTCAATTTGTAAGCAGAGCATTTTTTAAGTAGTCAAAAATATTAAAAATTCTTTAATTATGTTTGAAAATACATAGGTAATTCCAATGTTGCGTCAAGCTAAAGTTAAGAACGTTCTTACAGGAGATTTTTACATATTAAACAGGGCATTATCACTAAAAAAAAACACAAGTCAAAAACAAAAAAAATTTCGAATCTAATAACATATCACGTCGTTGCTGAAAATTTTCGATTTTTTAATTTTGGACCTACGAAATTATCCTCCTAATATTATGTTCAACCGTGAAGCAGTTGTGTTTGCATGGCTGTGTTACGGTTTGAAGGGTGGAATATGGCGTGAATTTACAGGGTACAGAGGAATAACACCTGAGTCTTCAGGAATGACAACGCATGGGGGGTATCATGGGCGAAACAGTATACTCCGTTATGTCCATGACACTGCTCATGTCTATAGGGGACGGTTACCACTTTCCATCAGGTGGATCATCAGCTTGTTTGTCATTGTGGCTGTAGTCACATACCTGCTTCAGTTTAATGGGCGAGATACAACAGTGAAATTACTATTTATTTATATACCAAGCCATACTATATCAGCTGTTAATTATCCACTGCTGATCGCAGGCCTCCCCCATAAGAGAGGTTTTCTAGTAGTAGCCACTTAGATGTTTTAAGATAGATACTGTTGCCCATCCCTCGACCGTTCCCTTAATCGCCTCTTACGATACCCACGGGAAAGGAAAAGGTGGCCCTTTCTTTACCGGGACCACAAGACCAATTTATTCACATACTAGCTACTAGGCCTGGCTTCGCACTGGTGCATTATTTGTTACTGTAACTTTAAAAAGGCTGGTATTTTAACGTGTGTGAAAGTACTGCACTGATATTCTCCAAGATTTTAAAATCAGCGGCCTATTTAGTAATTAAATGTGCGCGAGTTTATATAGTCTACTTTTCTCGCATGGCCAGCGCTAGCGACAACGCAATATTTTTACCAGCTTATTGTTTTTATTTCCCATTATCTTCTGACCAACTACATCAATTAACATGCAGTAAAAAGTAAACTTTATCTTCATGAAATTTCCATTTAGATTTAGGTATTTTTGTTTGGCTAAGATCATCATCATCTTCCTACCCTTATCCCAATTATTATTCGGGGGGCGTAATATGGTTTTATCCATATTACAAAAAGATTTGGTTTTTAGTTTTACGACCGGCCACCTGCTTGACGTCAACCCTCTTTGGGAATGTATTTCTTGGTGGTTTCCGCCACCTACGGTATGGAGGAAAGGATTGAGGAAAAAAGGAAGGGAACGTTGGAAATGTGTAAAGGAAATTGGTAAATGGGAAGAATAAAGGACTTATGTGGGAAAGGAAAGGAGGGGAAACTGCAGCGGCTCTGGAGGCCGGGGTCGCATAAGCTAATAGAGCATTAGGGTATTCTAGAATCGGACAGATTTCTAGAGAAGAACACCCCTAACGTTTTTGTTTGGTTTTGTGATTTGTTTGGCTAAGATATTAAATTTAAATTATTATTATTATTTTCTTCCTCACCTATCAAAAAATCTCTAAATCAGTAATAATTGCAATGCAGCATGTCAATCTACAGTAGGCATGGGTAGTATAAATACTGATCTGATATTTATATATTAGATATCTCTGGACATTGATATCTATTTTCGTTATGTTAAATGTCAGTATTGCAAAGTTTTTTTTTTTTAAATTATAGACTTTTCAAAATATTCCTTATTAAACAAGTATATAGATATTGGAAAAAATATATAGATATAGCTATATATTACCCACCCTTAATCCATAGACATTAGAGGGAAAGGTATTGTTAGTAATGGAGGCTGAGAATCCCATTGCTTAAATAGCTGAACAGGTTTAAATGAAATTTGGTTCTCCAGCTAAACTATCATGGTTAATTCACAATGAATATCATGATGGGCTTTATATACTGGTGTTTTAATTCTCATCTATCACCATTCACTGGTGCTCCGCCAGCGTATCCCGTTAGCGCAGACGGCATTACCATACCATTTTCACCCATCAAAAAAAATCCATAGACATTACACACTATTATTTAACATCAAAACTAACATATAAAATGTCACTCACCTTTCCCTATCTCTATCCTTTTCTTTATCCTTGGTCTTGTCGCGTTCCCTGTCCCTCTCTACTTTCACTTTATCACTTTCCACTTTAATCTTAACACCTTGCACTTTATCACTGTCTGTCTGTACACTCCTAACAATAGCTGGGAACATTTGACTTGTAGGCTCCTGCTTGATCTTCAGCGGCAACTCCAGGTTACCATAACAAGGTAACTCCCTCCGCGGCGTCGATTGAAACCTTATAGCCTTTAATGACATACTGAAATGAGTGGCCGGACGTCGAGAATTCGAACATTCTAGAAGGACATTCGACCTTGTCACTCTGGGATACTTGTATCTGAACATAGACCTTTGGAGATGTGTGTTTATGATTTTCAGCTGACGAGATACAGATGAGAAGATGCGCTTGGTCACATCATCGTACGGGACCTTCTGTGCTAGTTGGGCTTGTCTCCAACTTACGTTAATACCTCCGAACCAATCTGCTGTGAATGGCTCCTGTAAACCTATATCGCATTCTGTCATATTGTGGAGTAATGCGTTCTGTGCTGGAGAAGTCTTCTTCAGAACATGAAGGGTCAACATTGTCGCATCCCCGTACCCTCCAGAGTCGAACACTGGCCATATTTTGCTCAATTTAGCTGGTCTAGTGCTCTCACCCCATACACATAGATCTTTAGAGTCCTCGCTGTACTTACGCTTTTTACCTGTAAAAGAAATGTTAAAGATACATTTTTACAGCCTTTTTTTTTTTAATTCTACCATCATCAGAATAAACATGAAGGGAAATGGAATGGACAATTTTCGAGTTTAAGTAGGCAAATAATAATAGATTCTTTCCTTCACAATAAAAGTAAATCTATTATTATATTCAATACTAGCTGTTGCCAGCGACTTCGTCCGCATTTCCGTCGTTTTTCGTAAAATAACTAGCCTATGTCCTTCCTCACGGTTCAGTGGTTTTGATGTAACAGACACATTTCCCTTCACTGCTCTGCTCCTATTGATCGTAGCATGATGAAAAGTATACTATAACCTGCCCAGGAATATGAAAAATAAATGTACCAAGTTTCGTTAAAATCCGTCGAGTAGTTTTTGTTTTTATAACGAACATACAGACAGACAGACAAAAATTTTACTGATTGCATTTTTGGCATCAATATCGATAACTAATCACCCCCTGATAGTTATTTTGGAAATATATTTCATGTACAGAATTTACCTCTCTACAGATTTATTATAAGTATAGATAAGTTATATTCAATATAAGTTATTACAAGATTTATTTTTAACTCAATTTAATATATTGTGAAGAAATGGTGTCTGAAGTAGAATAAACCTGTGTTACGCATCACACACAAGGTCCTTACCCCACAATTTGATGAAATAGAACATTGATAATGATCTGTTTCTTACACTATCTTCCCATATTTTTATTGTATTAGATAGAGAAACTTCACTAAATAATTTTGTTAAAATTTCTAGGAGACCAATCTGTAAGTATATCCTTTCATATAAAAAAAATCCAAATCAGTCTAGAATTTCTGAAGTTATGTGGTAATAGACATAAAAAAAAAATACAAACAAATTGAGGATCTCCTTCTTTATGAAGTTGGTTGAAAATAAAGAAGTCAGTTAAAAACAAACATTCCAATGAATAAATAAAAAGTGTTTTAATTAATCACAGTTTTTTTAGTAGACGACTTAGAAGAAACTTACATCGGAGGATACCAACAATTTATGAAATTGGATCTTAATTCTCATCAAAAATGGATCTTAATTTCACACATTCAAATGATTTTTCAACCAACTTAAAAAAGTTGTTTTTTTTTAATGTGTGTTAATGGAATGGTAACCCCACCTGCGCTATCGGTATGCGCTGGTGAGGCACCAATAAGTGATGATAGATGAGGATGAAAGCAGGTCAGTTAGCCCCTCGTGACGAATTCCAATAGAATTAACCACAATGGTTTCCAGGGAGAACCGCGTGGAGGTCGACCTGAGGGTATATTACTAACAATGGGTTCATTAGACCCCATTACTAACAATCCCTTCCCCCCTAAAAAGTTGGTTGTCAATTGAGATTTTGTGTTTGTTACTTTTATATTTTACACTGTCATATAGCCACTCATTTCAGCATAACTTTAATTAAGTGACATGAATTTGAAAATTCTTTACCTTAAAGAATATACTTACAGATTAATCCAATACAAATTTTAACAAAATCAGTTCAGCAACCTATTTTTTAAAATTTTGTGAAACAATCTTACACTGACACTGTTCTGAGTGAGGTCAATTGAACTATTATTTTTTTAATCACATTACCTTTTGCTTTGATTTTTTAAATTATTTTGTGATCTTGTACTAGTATTAATATCATAAACAACTAGTTTAACAGGATAGTGAGTTCCACCACGATATCAACTTGTCACAGTGTCCAATGTCAATGTTGGAATGGCAATGATCAAGGATAAAACAGTACAGCGAATCCAAATATGTTTTTTTTGTAAGACTTTGTTCCACATAAAAATACTAACTGATTTTGATAAAATTTCTTCAGAACTAATCTGAAAGTGTATTCTGAAAGGATAAAAAAAATTCCAAATCGGTTCATAGATAACAGAGTCATAAACAAGAGGGGGGAAAGGGATTGTTAGTAATGGAGACTGAAAATCCCATTGCTAGTAATATACCCAACCAGATTGACCTCTTCGCAGTTCTCCCTGAAACTATCATGGCTAATTCCTGATGAATTCATCATGATGGGCTAACTGGCCTGTTTTCATTCTCATCTATCAGCCTTCACTGGTGCTCCGCCAGCGTAGGTGGGGTTACCATACCATTTTCACCCATCAAAAAAACAATGTCACACCTTTTTTCAACTTTTTTTTAATATTTTTGTTTTGTCTCCACCAATTCCCAACTTTTATCAGACATTCAAAGATTGACTGGAAGAGATCTCTTTTATAGGATAAGTCCACTATTGTACTCATTCTTTTCTTAAAAACTCTATACCCCATAACTTAAGATTTTACTGTACAATAAAGTGTTCCAAACAAACATGATAGTTATTGTTTTGGGGGAAAGAATTGTTAGTAATGGAGTTTGATAGCTCCATTGCTAGCAATATGCCCTATCAGGTTGACCTCCATGTGGTTCCCCTGGAAACCATTGTGAACAATCTCGAGATCTTCATTCCTCTTCCAATCTATTATTGTATACCCCCACACACCGATCAAACTTCTCTTCTCAATCTTTTACCATCTCGGCTATCAACCTTTGGAATGCACTCCCTATTGATATCAAAATGTCCCTAACCAAATTTTCCTTTAAAAAGTCCCTTCCTGAACATTACTACAATTTATCATAACAATGAATAATCTGTTATAAGTTATTATTTATATATTTATTAATTTAGAGTATATAATTCTATATGTTTGTATGTTTATTTATTATAAATTGTTATCAATTAAAATACTTATTTAATTTACTATTTTTTTAAATCTGTGCACTACCATTTACTCTCTCTGTTTAGCGTGGCGGCTGACTGGTAGAGAATGCCATCAGGCATTGAGTCTGTCCTGTAGACATTTTTCAATGTGTGCAAAAGTATAAATAAATAAATAAAACAGTTCTTATTGAATTTGTCATGATGGGCTAACTGACTTTCTTCACCCTCATCTATCATCCTTCACTGGTGCCCCGCCGGTGTATACCAATAGCGTGGATAGGGAGTATTTTATCAACATCTGAATTATAAATAACCTTCAAAGTTGTATATTTACTTCATGATGTAGTTCTGAATACTTTAAAAATATTTATTTATTTATTTTTGTAAATGATGTGTTACTTTAATACTTTTTATTCTATTTTTCTGTATTATTGTTAAGAGCATTTTTTATATAATAATTTGGAAATATTGTACATTCTTTATGAATATTAATAAATAATACAAATGTTGTCACACTTTGTATTAATGATGTGAATGTTTAAAGGAAAGAAGACAAGTGATTTTTCAAATAAAAGGTTTTTATTGTTAACTAAATAACCTGATAAATATTATTTTGCTGCTTACATTTACCTATTGGCTCCATTATTTCTCATCGGAATTAAAACTGTTCTCTTAAGTTGGAGCAAACATAACTACTACTTTTACATAATTAATTTAAATCAGTTGTACAGTTTCAGTGATTATATATATACATAAACAAACATTGTAAAAGAGGATTTTTGAAATTAAGACTTACGAGAGGTAAGAAGGAATCCTATTAATTATTGGAAGGAATGACATACAAGTTTTTCAATTGTTGTCAATATTAATTATTAAAAAAAAAATCACTTTAAAATACTTTACTAAAACATTCATAATGAAGTAAAATGAAAGTTGGACACAATGAAATTGGACTTTCTCTCAACTCAGTTTTTTCTCATGTTAGACATTTAGAATTTAATGATGTTTATATAGTCTAGGTTCATGTTCATTTATAGATATAGTATAATTAAACATTATTTATTGTCAGTTTCAGCTATATATGTAGAAAGTGTTGATCAAGCAGGCAAGGCCATAGTGATGCAATCAGTCAAAAACTGTATTAGAAACTTATGGTATACAGCAAATACCATTCCAAACATGACAAATATCAATAGATAAAAACGCTAAGAGACCTATAACACCATAAATATTAAGTAAATGTTTATAAACATTTACGACCTCCATTTTAATGATGTAACTAATAATTTAATAGGTTAGCTGTTTTCCCACCAAAATATTATATAGGTAATTCTTGGTGTCAGGTGTGATTAGACAATTTATCAACCTAGCAGTTGTTAAAGGGTAGAAGAAATATGGTTTCATACCTTTGCCATCACAAGACTGGATAAGTTTCGTATTGGTTGACATACTTGGATCGTATCCCAGTTTCGAAAGTCTTCTATAGTTGTGAGTCATTCTGCGACGCTTAGTACCCTCACCGGCATCTATTTCTATGATGGATGTGGAATAATCTTCATTGAATTCTCGATTTTCTACTACTTTTACATTGGATTGCAAGGGCTCCTTGGACGCCATTGTTTCAGAGCCAAATTACCAAAACTCAGCTAAGTAACCGTAATTCGTAAATGAAACTTCAACGGCACTTACTAATTATACACTATGAACGCGATCAAATCTATAAAACATTTAAAACGATTAGAAACACATTTATTTAGAATAAAAAACAACTTGCGACGCCATTTCTTGCAACTTCACTTTTTTTTATTATACTTTTTTAGAGAAAAGTATGAACCATGTCGAACAAATGCATACCACATACAGCTATAATTATTTAATTTTATTGTTAAAAGATGAATGAAAGATAATAAAAATATACAATTAAATACAGTAAAAAATGATAATATTTATTGAAATAATTAAATATCATTTACTAACATTTGAAGTTTATATAATAAAGTCTTACATCTTCAAAAAAGTAAGTGGTGTCATCTATAATAAAATATGGAAAAACTACGTACGATTAATGCTGTTACTCGAATCTATCAGAAATAGATGGCAGGCGTTACAGTTCACGTCAGCAAAAGTGAAGGGCATGACACGTCATAATGAATTCTGTTCATAAAAATCGCGGTAGATGTCGCTGAAAGATAAAAATTTACAAAAAAATATGTAATGAACAAAGGAAACAATATGGACATTTATAAATAAAAATAGACGCTTTTTTATAACTAGCGATACTATACTGAATAAAATTATTGCAATTTTCTGTATAATTTTTCAAACATTTTCTTTCATACAAACCTGATCCTGGTAATTAAAAATACAACAATAAGAAAAGTAGACAAATAAGTAGAGCCGTCCTGAATTAGGAAAGTGATTTTTATTTAAGTAAATTGAATTACGTACTACGACATAATAAAATAATCATCACATCTGTCCACTGCTGAACCTTGGCCTTCCCCTTGAGGGTTTTTTTAATGGATCATAATGAATAATTATTATTATCATTATTCATTATTACACAGCAAACAACATTTCTAAAAATATAAAAAAAATAATAAAAATATATATTTTTCTTAAATATCTCCCATGTACAAACAGCGTCTATTTTCAATTTTATTATATTAATAAGATTAACCTCTCTGATTTTTAGGAGGAACCACGTGGAGGTCGATCTGAAATGTTGTGTTGTTAACAAAGAGACCGGTAATTCCTGTTAGCTAAGTAGATCTTACTACTAACATTCACTTTCCCCTAGCGTTACTATTTTTTTTAACTGCTGATAATGGAATGGTAACCCCGCCTGTGCTAACGGAATACGTTGGCGGGGCACCAGTGAGCGATGATAGATGAGAATAAAATATGGTACAGGTAGCCGATCGTGATGAATACACCCGGAATTCAACGTGGTGGTTTTCAGAGAGGACCACGTGAAAGTCGACCCGACAGACTGGTAGTCCGCATTACTACCAATCCCTCCCCCCTTAGCGGTACTACTTTTTGAATAAATGACAACGTTTTTTAATGGATGAACATTGTACAGCAAATCCACCTGCGCTATTGGTATACACTGACGGGGCACCAGTGAGAGATAGCGAAAGCAGATCAGTTGGCCCATGATAATGAGTTTGATAAAAATCAACGACGATGGTTTCCAGGGGGAACCGCATAGAAGTGAACCTGATAGGGTATATTGCTAGTAATGGAGCTGTTATATCCTTGTTACTAACAATCCCTTTCTTCTCTGACAACAAAAGGAACACCCAATCAAATCTCATCAACAACAATAGGGACACCCAATCAAATCTCATCAACAACAATAGGGACACTCAATCAAATCTCATCAACAACAATAGGGACACCCAATCAAATCTCATCAACAACAATAGGGGCACACAATCAAATCTCATCAACAACAATAGGGGCACACAATCAAATCTCATCAACAACAATAGGGACACCCAATCAAATCTGCGGGGAAATCAATGGAGTTTGACATCAACAACAATAGGTGAACAATTCTTGTTGAATTCGTCACGATGAGCTAACTGATGCTCATCCTCAATCATTCTTCACAATAGGCGGGTAGGGTTACCCTTCCATTATCATCCATTTAAAAAAAACCCAATCAAATCTCATCAACAACAATAGGGACACCCAATGAAATCTCATCAATAACAATAGGGACGCTCAATCAAATCTCATATTGTCTCTAAACCATCGTGGTTAGTTCATGAAGAACTCTTTACGATGGGCCAACTAATCTGTCTTAGGGAGAAGGGATTGTTAGTAACTGGGAGGTTGGTCCCCATTGCTATCAATATACCCTACCAGGTCGACCTCCACGCGGTTCCCCCTGGAAACCATCGTGACTAATTTATCGTTGAATTCGTCACGATGGGCTAACTGACCTGCTTTTTCATCTTCACCAATCATCCCTCACTGGTGCCCCGCCAGTGTATACCGATAGCACCGGCGGAGTCATCATTCCATTATCATCCATTAAAAAAACTGATCTGTCTTCATCCTTACGTATTATCCCTTTAATGGTACCCCACTAGCGTAAACCGATATCGCGGGCGGGGTTACCAGGTCAGTTAGATATTTACAATAAACGGACGATAAAATTCCTCGCATGGGAAATTTAGCAAAGATAGATGGATAGTTGAAACATTTATCTATTTGTTTATATTACAACTAACCGATATAGGGGGGTGAAGGGATTGTTAGTAATGGAGATTAGCAATCTTATAGTTAGCAATATACCATATTTTTATGGGTGAAAAAGGAATGATAACCTCGCCTGCGCTAACGGGATACGCTGGCGCGACATCAGTGAAGGGTGATCGATGAGAATGAAAACAGGCCAATTAGCCCATCATGATAAATTCATCAGGAATTAACTATGATAATTTCCAAGGGGAACCGCGAAGAGGTCGCCCTGGTTGGGTATATTGCTAGCAATGGAATTCTCAGTCTTCTTTACTAACAATCCCTTTCACTCCTGATATATTTATGTCTGTAGCAGGAGAGAGAGGGATTGATAGTAATGGGGACTTCAATTCCCATTGCTAACAATATGCCTAATTAGGTAGAAGGGGAGAAGGAATTGTTAAAAATAGGGATTAGTAGCTCTATCGCTAGCAATAACCAAAGGGAGACTTTGTCCAAAAGTCGTTTGCTCTGTTCCATTTGTGTTTCTACCGTGAAGCAGTTCCATCCAGTGAACCACTTTCCATCAGAACCGTCAGCTTGTTTTCCACTCTAAGTTGAATAAAAAAAATAAGCCCTGTCAGATCGACCTGCACGTGTTCGCCCCTGAAAAACATGATGCTGAATTCCATATGTATTTTTTTATGGATGAAAATGGAATGGTAACCCCGCCTGCGCTAACGGGATACGCTGGCGGAGCACCAGTGAAGGGTGCTCGATGAGAATGAAAACAGGCCAGTTAGCCCATCATGATGAATTCATCAGGAATTAACCATGATAGTTTTCAGGAGGAACCGCGAGGAGGTCGAAGTAGCTCCATTACTAGTAATACACCTTGTCAGATCGACCTCCACGTGTTCCCCCCTAGGAACCATCATGTGAATTCCAGGTGTATTCTTACGTTGGGCAAACTAACCTGCCTTTTCATTCTCATCTATCATCCCTTACTGGTGCCCCAGCAGAGTATACTGTTAGCACAGAAGGTGTTACTATTCCATTATCATGCATTAAAAAATCCTCAGTAATGACACTGCATCAGGGATACCACGTGTCACAGTGTATTTTGTGATCTCTATGCCATAGTGCAGTTTTTCTCTAATAATAACAGTTACCATTTTCCATCAAATGAACCATCAGCTTGTTTGTCATTCCATGTTGTTTATCTGTATATATATAAGAGGATGCTAATTGGCTGTGCAGGTCATAGAATGGGCCACCCCTTCCTTTGCCGTGGATGTCGTAAGAGGCGACTAAGGGAACTTATAGTGGAGGGATGGACAGCAGCGTCCCTCTTAAAACATCTGTAAATACTGCGGTTGCCAACCCGCCTGCCAAGCATGGTAACTACTGGCAAAACTCTCCTTATGGGGAAGGCTTATGTTCAGCAGTGGACAGTTAATGGCTGAAAATAATATAATTGGTTGTCTGATTAATCCATATATCAATGCACAGCAGATACCGCTAAATGCCAATAAATAAATATTATAACAGTTTTAAAAACGTCAAAAACTGTTCGAAAATTGCTTCATGATGTTGCAATAAACAATCTAAAGATGACAGATTTTTTTGTTTTACCATATTGGAATGGTAATCCCGCTTGAAATAACAGCTTACAATGGCGATACCAGTGAAGGGTTCCAGTGACAAAACAAGGAATTGACAACGATGGTTTCCAGGATAATTCTCGTAGGATTACTACGAGATTTATCCTGGAAACCACCTGAGAACCTAAAGGGAGAATTTCAGACCCAGCAAAAATGTTGGTTCCATTCCCAGAAGTGGCGAAATTACTTAATTGGACTATATTTTTATGTTAGCAAGCAAAACCACAGTTTATGAGTAGTAAAAAAAAAAACAAATCGTATTTTAAATCCTTAAATATGGACAGAAATGAACGGAGAACAGTATTGCTATTGTAAAATCAAACAGAGACCGACAGCAAACTTGAGGTGCGAACAAGTTCCACTAAATATGTCAATAATAATCGAGTCAAACGGCTCCTAAGCCGACATCGTCAGAATACGCCACCAGCATACATGAATAAGTTGACGACACCATGGAAAGTGGTAACCGTCGTCTGTACACATGATCAACGCCTTAAATTCATGGCATTAGACGGCTTTAGTTTGACAATGACATTAGATTAGCCGGGCGGATTTTTGATTATTTGCATCAACGTTTAAAATTCACGGCGTGACTTTTTTGCTTTTTTTTTTTATGTTATTTCTTGTAATTTAGAATAACATATTTTTTTTATTTATATAGGTATTATGATCATTTCAGTTGTTATTTTGAATTTCTTTACAATAGTGTGTGTTCTTAAGAATTGTACTGCTTGGTGCCAACATCACCTTTTACTACATTCCTCTTAATAAAGAGTTCGGGTTCATATTCATTTTTGGAGTGCTGATACATATATACATGCACAATCATACTTATTTCTCCTCATCAATGTGAAGTCACACTTCCTTTGAGGTTTTATTTATTTATTTTTTGGAAAACGTACTTTACAGTTTTTTCAAATTTATATCTATGTTAAAAAATC